GAGATTCGCGAGATTCCCGCTAGAGCTATGGACTATCTAGCGTACCGACAGGCAAGGGGCGGGCTAGGGTGAATAAGAGCGTAGAGAAGGTCCTTGTCATCTCGACTCTAGTCTCTCACGACGATGACGACTGACGCGTATCTTCCCCTCGTCTCTCCTCCATCTCTCTCGCCCTCTCGCCGTCTTGCCGTCTCGCCCTCTCGCCCTCTCGCCCTCCTCCCTCGCGCCTCGCGCCCGCCCTGTCTCGACCCTCTCCCTCCTTCCTCTCGCCCTCCTTCGTCTCGCCCTCCTTCCTCTCGCCCTCCCTCTCCTCTCACCCTCTTTCTCTTCATCTTTCCGCCTCGTGCACAGCGCCGGTGAGGAGCCGCAGAGACAGTCACCCGCCCTTTGTCGTACCTCTCTGTCCCTCACTATCTGTCTGCAACGAGCAGCCTCGCGAGCAACGACGAGCTCCCTTTCCCTCGACTCGTCTCTCTCTCTCTCTTTCTCTCCAAGTCTCTCTCTCTCCCGTCTCGCCGCTGCGCTCGTGCGAGAGCGAGACACAGAACGACCCTCGAGAGCCTCACCGCGCGAGAGCGAGAGCGACAGCGAGAGAGAGCAAGACAAGCCCGCCGTTGCAACCCCTCGTCCTGTGCCCCGTCCTCCTCCTCAAGGCCTCACTCGCTCTTGCTCTTCCCCTTCCCCGCCCGCTCCCGCTCCCGCTCCCCCTCCCTCTCCCGCCCCTCCTCCTCCCTCCTCACCGCCCCCATCCTCCCCGCAACGCCCAGCACCGCAAACGCCCCGAGCCCGTACGCGACGGCGGGCCCGCACACCCACCAGAGCGCGGTAAAGACGAGCGGGCCGAGCGCGCGGCCGAGCTGGCCGCGCGAGCGGAACGTGCCCAGGGCGGCGCCGCTGCTGGTGCTGCTCGGGCTCGTGCGAGTGCTGCTGGTCGTGCTGCTGCTGCTGCTGCTCGCGCTCGTGCTCGTGGCGCCCGGACCAGAAGAGGCGCGCGACGACGAGGGAGACGAGGGGGACGAGGCAGCGGCGCTCGCGAGCGCCGAGAGCGACGTGACGACGCTCGCGCTCACGAACGCGAGGAGGGCGGCCGCGACCCACAGGAGCGCTCTCGCTGCGCCCGTGCCCGTGCCGCTGCCCTTGCCCCCGCCCTCACCCTCGCCGCCGCCGCCGCGCGCGACGAGCCCAGGGAGCACGGCGAGCACTGCGAGCGCGGCCGCGCACGCTTGCATGCCCCTCTGCGCGAGCCTCACGCTCCCACTCGTCGTCCCTTTCAGCCTCCGGACGTACCCGCCCGAGAGCGCGGCCGACACGAGGCCGATAAAGCCGAGCAGGCGGCCGTTTTGCGCGTTGGACGCCGAAAAGAGGGCGTGGGTGAGGAAGCAGAGGGTGAACTCGGCGCCGGAGAAGCAGAAGAGGAAGAGGAGGTGGGTGGTCGAGAGGTGGGCGAGGCGGGCGGCCGGGTCGGCGAGCGGGCGAGGAGCGAAGGAAGGGGCTGGGGAGGAGGGCTTGGGCGGTGCGGGCGAGATGCTCGACGAGGTCGAGTCGGCCTTGTCGTCGCGCGCAGTCGCCGCCGTTGTCCACCCGCGCGTCTCGGGCAGGCGCGCCCACAGGTACGCCGTCTCGAACGCCAGGAGGACGACCGTCATGGCCGCCGGCACGGCGTACGCGTTGAGCTGGACCTCGCCGCCGCCGAGGCCGAGGATGCGCGGCACGGCGATGACGCTGCCGGGCCCGAACGCGCGCTGGCTCAGGTAGGCGCCGATCGAGGGCCCGGCGGTAAAGGCGAGCGAGAAGGCGGCGCCGACGAGGGCGAGGGCGCGAGCGCGCTCCTCGGGCGTCGTCACGTCCGTGATGCACGCGATCGACAGCTGGACGTTGCCCTCGCTCAAGCCGCCGACGACGCGGCTCAGGGCGTACACCTCGAACCGAGACGCGACGAGCCACAGGACGGCCGAGGCGAGGTTGCCAACCATGGTGGCGAGGAGGACGGTGCGCCGCCCGTACCGGTCGCTCAGGCGGCCGATGTAGGGCGAGACGAGGAACTGGCAGAACGAGAAGAGGGACGCGAGGAGCCCGCCAAGGAGCGTGAGGTCCCACCGCGAGTCGCCGACTGCGCCGCCGCCCGCCGCCGTCGCCGCTGTGGGTGCTGTGGGTGCCACCGTTGCCGCCGCAAACGAGAACAGGTAGGACCGCAGGGCGCGGACGAGCGACATGGTGCGCGAGAGGAGGGTCGGCGTCGAGGACGGGGCGATCGCTTCTTGCCGCACAAAGTCCTCCATGATGCGCGGGAACAGGGGTAACCTGTGGGTGTGTAGACTGTCAGCTCGGCGTGTCTCTTTGCACGGGGGCGAGAGAGTCTTGGGTCGGCGGCTGCACCGCCCCCGACTCGCGCAGCACGCTCGCCGACCTCGAGAGAGAAAGCGAGAGGGGACGCACGGCATGGTAAAGGCGAGGAGGTCGATCAGGAGCGCAGTGAATACAACGCGCACGACCTTGCGGCCGTCGCTGGCCTCGTGCCGGGTCGACGACGACATCGTGCTGATGAGGCCTGGCGAGGGGCGAGTCGAGGGCGCGGCTGGCGGGCGAGCTGGTGGGCGCGAGGGCCGTTTGAGCTGTCGCTGCTGCTGTTGAGCTGCACCTGGGCGGAGCAGGCGAGGTAGACGGCGAGGGAGAGAGCTAGCTCGCCTCTCATTGACCTCCTCTCGCTCGCGGCGCGAAGGGCGGAGTCCGACGACTTGCTCAAGGGTCGGCCAGACGTCTCTCGCTTTCCTGCGGCTCGACAATCGTCTCGACACACTGCTCAAGAGCTCAGTTGCACGTCGTCGAAGCTCCCAACTCCCAGCTCGCGAACTACGTCCGCCGCTCGCACGCTCAATGCTAGTCCCAGCTCGTGTAGCGCGCGAGCCACTCGACGCCCGCCTCGAACGCGCACCACTCGGCCTCGACCGTGCTGTCGATCGGGTGCCCGTTGCCCGGGAACGCGAGCATCTCGACGTCGACCTTGGCGGCCGCGCCGTCCGGTCGGCTCTTGAGGGCGTGGAACCATGCTCGGCCCTGGTCGGATGGCACACGACGGTCGTCGAGGCCGATGAGGAGGAGCGTCGGCGTCTTGACCTGGTGCGCGTGGCGCAGCGGCGACACGTCGTAGAAGCGCTTGTGCGTCGCCGGGTCGACGTGCGTCGGCGGCCCGTCGAACGAGTACGGCAGTCCGGCTTCGAGCCACTGCCATTCGGGGATGTCGCTGTTGGAAGAATTGGCGACGAGGTCCGTGACCGGGTTGCGCTGGACGACGGCGTCAAATTCGTCGGGCCACCGTGCCGTCAGGTGGCTCGCGATGAAGCCGCCGTGCGAGCCGCCCATGAGGAGCTTCTTGCCCCTCGTGCGGCTCGCGAGCGACAGCGCGTTGAGGTAGTGGGCCGCGCCGAGCGTCGCCTCGACCTCGAGCTCGCCGATGCGCGCCGGCAGCTCGTCGATGTAGCGCTGGCCATAGCCGACGCTGCCGGGATAGTTGACGAGCACGACCCGGTAGCCAGCGAGGACGAGCGCCGCCGTCGCGTAGCTCCAGTCGGTCGTCGACGCGCCGTGAGGCCCGCCATGCGGGATGACGACGAGCGGTGGCAAGTTGACGCTCGACTCGGCGGCCGGGTCAATCGGGATGGGCGAAACGAGGACGAGCTCGGTCGGCTCGAACTTGGGGAGAGGGAGGATTGTGTACGAGATGCGCGACAGGGCCGAGGTGACTGCATCGTCGAAGAGAGAGTCAGTGACTTTCCGAGAGAGAGGGAGGAGGAGAGAAAAGGGGACGCACGCTCGTGAGACACGGGCGCATCCTTGAGCACCTTCCACCTGGCGCTCGAGCCCTCCTGCACATGGGCGACGACCAACCGCGGCGGTGACCCAGGCCCGCTCCTCAACGCGACCACCCTGTCCTGCCCGTCCGTCCCGAGCACCGAGAAGCTCTCGAGCTGCTCCTGCTCGTCGCCGCCCGCCTCGCTCTTGCCCTCGCCCTTGCCGTCGCCGAGGTACAGGTACGGCAGCGCCGCGTCGACACTCGTGCGTCGCTCGGGCCACGGCGCGAGGCTCGTCACGCGACCCGACTCGAGCCCGACCACGAGCGGGACGCGCCTCGTGCGCCACACCGACGTCATGGCGACGGCGACCTCGCCCTGTGCGCCGCCGCCGTCGACGACGACGAACGGCTCGTGCGGGAGCTGGTCGACGTACAGGCCCGGGAACGCGTCGCCGCTGCTGCTGCTCGGCTCGTCGACGACGTCGACGACGGTGCGAGCCTCGTCGACCGAGAGCGACGCCGACAGGGTCGCGAGCTCAAGCGCCGCACACGAGGCGTGCGGCCCGCCGAGCGCGTTCGAGATGTAGACGACGCGCGCGGTCTGGTGCGAGTCGGCGGCCAAGGGCAGGACACGCGGCGAGCGCGCCGAGCGACTGGCCGACGAGATGGGCGTGGCCGACGAGGTGCGGAACACGACCTTGGGCATGTCGGCGTCGTCGCCGTGGCCATCCTCGTCGTCGGCGGCGGCCTTGTGCTCGGCCTTGACCTCGAGGGCGTAGATGCGCGCGCGCCGGTTGGTGCAGTACACGATGCCGAGCTTGCGCCCGTCGCCGAGCGGCGCGTAACCCGTCGCGACGAGCCTCGGGCGGTCCGTGTTGGGGAGGAAGGCCGCTTGACCAAAGACGACGGGGCCCGCGAGGTTGGGCGACGTGAGGCGGTGAACCGACAGGGCGGGCTTGCTCTGCGTCGGCGCGTCCTGGGTCGACAGGGTGGGCTCGTCCTGCTGCAGGGCGCCCTGGAACGACGAGTCGGCGAGAACGAGCAGGAACAGGGTCGGCTCGCGCCGGCCGGTGAACGTCTCGCCAAAGTCGGGCGTGTACTCGAACTTGACCGCCGACGGGCGAGTGGCCGACGGGTCGGGCTTGGGCGACGGCGCCTCGGCCGTGTACACGAGCGAGGTCGACGACGGGTGCCACGAGGCCGAGCCAAAGGTCGAGTCGAAGTAGAAGTCGCCGTGCTCGTTGGACAGGTCGAGCTCGTCCTCCTTGCGGCCGTCGAGCACGCGCACGATCTCTACGACCTTGCGGGCGGGTTTGCCGTCCTTGGCGGCGATCTGGCGGAAGACGGCTTGACGCGAGCCATCTGGCGAGAGCGAGACGTGCTTGACCTCCTCGGAGGTGAAGGAGACCGGGGTGGTCGCGACGACGTCCGAGTCGGGGCCGCCGAGCACGAGGCTCTGGGTCGCGCTGCGCTTGGTCAGGCCCGACAGCGAGCGCTGCGAGAGCGAGACGAGGAGGGTCGCTGTGGGGGCGGGGGATGGGTCAGCGCTCCTCCTCCTCAGGGGCTCGAGAGAGAGAGGTGAGAGAGCCACGCACAGCTGCTAGACTGCTTGTCGGCGCGCCCGACGAACCTGGCACCCGTCACGGCGGGCGCCTCGAACAGCTCGGCGGCGAGGTTGATGGCGCGAGAGACGCGGGCCGAGTCGTCGCTCTGCGGCGCTGGCGGGACGGGCGATGTGGGCGGTTGGATCTGGGTCATGGCAGCTTGTGCGCAGTGGCCGTGCGCCGCTCGAGCGTGAGCAGGCGTTGGTGGAAAGAGCGGCCGCGCGGTGCTGCGCCGGGCTCGATTCGAGACGAACGAGGGCTGTCACTTTCTCTCGTGCAGTGAGCAACGAGGCTGCTTGCCTGCCAGACTCGCTGGATTGCAGAACCTCGGAAGCGGCGCGCCAAGAAGGAAGAGCGACAGTCGTCGTTCCGCTCGAGGGAATTGTTAACTCACTCGCTCTCGGTCCTCTCATGATCAGACGAGCGCGAAACACGGCTGCACTGCGCCTCGTCTACATCTCACGCACAGACGCCGCGTCGCTCACGAGTTCCACAGCCACCCTCTCCTCCAGCTCGTCCGCCGCTCAAGCGCGAGCCTGAGCTGGTGCACGACCGCCTGGGCGTACACGACGCCGCCCGGGTTGAGCGACAGGTGCTCGCCGTCCTGCAGGAACTGGTAGCCCTCGACGAGGCGGCCAAAGTCTGTGAGTGCGGCGATGGAGGAGAAAGGGAGGGAGTCAGTCGGGAGGAAGGGGAGGAGGATGGGGCGAGGGAGAGGACGGACCAAACACGGGGACGCCTTCAGACTGAGCCACCTCGCGCTGCAGGTGCCTGAGCTGCTGTACTGCCACTGTGGGAGGAGAGCTGCGTGCGTGAGTCGACGTTCGGGCGTCCGACGAGGCAGAGAGAGGGACGCACAGTTGAGGTTGGTGCTCTTGCCCTCGTCCTGCGGCCGATGCGACAGTCGCACGACGATGCGCGCGTTCGGGAACCTCTGGCGGATGGCCTTGAGGGAGCGCCGCTGGTCGGCTGTACCTCGCTCGAGCTGCTGCGGCAAGACGGCTTGCGAGCGTGCAGAGCTGCCGTCCTCCTCCTGCTCGTTGGTCGTCGGTCGGATAGGTGGGCGATGCGGGTTGCGACGTGGGCGAGAAAGGCGGAAGGAAGGCGCGACGAGGGAAAGGTGGGGCAGGCAAGATCAGCGTCCGCCGTGTAAGAGAGGGAAAAAGGGTGGGCGAGAGGAGGGCGCACCTGGCTCATTGTCCCACTGTGCACCACGACGACGTCCACCGTCTCTGCTCCTCCCATCGCCTCGAGCGCCGCGAGCGGTAGCTCGCCGACCCGCGACGCGTCGAACCGGGCGCCGAGCACCCGCACAGCCGTCCGACGCCCGTCCGCCCTCAGCAGCTCGCAGCTGCGCAGCTCTCCTCGGGCCCGACTCGTCTCTTCGCCACCTTCTGACGCGACGAGGAAGTCGTCGAGGCGAGGGTCGCTGCCGCCTCGCGGCGAGAACGAGATCGCCGAGCGGTGGTCGAACAGGCGGCAGAAGTGGTCGAGGGCGTCGTCGTCTGTCGAGTCGCCGAGGAGGAGGACGGTCGGAGGGCGTGATCGAGACGAGCGGAGGAAGGAGAGGGCGTCGACGGGTGGGGAGGATGCGGCGAGGGGAGGAAGAGGGTCGGCCGCGACGAGCTGCAGCTGCTTTGGGTTGAGCGGGTGGTGGTGCTGCGAGGTCGAGGGGGTGTCGCCGAGGACGAGCTCGTGCAGGGCAGGAAGGTAGGCGGGTAAAGGAGGGCAGGCGGTGTCGTCGAGAGGGCGCCAGTGCGTGTCGAGCGGCGAGAGGTTGACGAGCAGTCGGCCTGGTCGCTCGAATGGGTCGCACGGTATAGGCGCGTTGTGTGCACCATCTCGGCTGCACGGTGGAAAGAGTCAGCGTCCTGCGTGGGAGCAGGCGAGAGTGCGGACCGGTCGAGAGGGAGGAGGGGAGGGTGCTCACAGCTGAACGAGGCCCAACCAGCCGAGCAGTACGACGCATCCGAGTGCGACCGCCTTGCCCCTGCCGCCCTTGCGCCCGCCCCACGCCGCCGCGAACGGGTCCCCTGCCGCCGCCGCCGTGCGCCAGCTCCCTCGCGCCCACGACGCGGCCGTGTGCTCGCCCGCCGAGACCGAGATCGACACGTCGCCCGGTCGGCGGTACTGGCTCGCCTCGGGCGTGTGCGGGACGGTGAACGACGCCCGGTGCGCCATGCGTGCGGGAAGTCGGGGTGCGAGGGTCGCTCGAGGTGATGAGGCTGGGGGCGAGGTTGGAGGCGGGCGGGCGGGCTGCCGCCGTGGTGCAGCTGCGCAGCGGTGCAGCAGGCTCGTCTGCGAGCCGGTCTGCTGGCGGAGGGAGCAGCCGGAGTCGCGGAACAAGGAGCAGAGACACGAGTGGCCTGGACCGTCCAGCTCAGAGGCGGAGGCGGTCCGGCGTTCTCAGAGTCGACGACCGCTCGCGAAAGCTCTCTCAGTATCTCTCGAGCGCACTAACTTAGAGGCGCAGGGAACCGTGTCTACAAATGCGGATCGAGAGGCGGGAGGACACGGCTACACAAGGAGGAGGACGAGAAAAGGGGGTCCGAACGTCTCTGACGCTCCCGCTACTCCTCGGCTGTACACCATAAGAACGGCTGCGTGACGAGAGTCGGTCAGTGACGGGCGGCATGCGGTAGAGCCGCTCAAGAGAGGAGGGAAGAGAGGACGGCGCACAATGGTCTCGACTCGCTCCCAGCCCTGGCACCGCCTCGACGTCCTGAGCGCCTCGAACCCCTGCTCGTCGATCCCTCCCGCCCGCTCCTCGGCATCGAGGTCGTCCAGCGACCAGCCGAGCGTCGCTTCCCAGTCCGACAACTCGACGACGACGCCTCGAGCCGGAAACCCTGCCGCCGTCGAGCCGAGGTACGGCGCGAGGACGTCGCGCAGGTGCGACACGAGCGCGATCGGCGAGTCGAAGGCGGCGAGCGAGATGCGCAGGCGGGTCGAGGTCCAGGCGGTGAGCTCGCCGGGCGACAGGAAGGGGGCGGCGTGCTTGAAGAAGGCGGGCTCGACGACGTCGACCGAGGCGCGCTGCGAGCATGGACGTGCAAGGTCAGGAGAGGCTCTAGACATGCTCGAGTAGACCGAGAACGAGGAACGCACGACGGCCGCACTGCGAGAGAGGGGGATGACGTTCGGCGTCGGTCAGGGCGGGTAGGTGTGCGAGGAGGGGAGAGGAAGGAGACGCACTCGAGGTCGAGGAGCCGAGTCGAGTCCTGCTCGATCGTGTCCCACTCGCGCACGATGTGGAGCTTGCCCGGGAGCTTGACGGCGAACGTGTCGGCCGAGCCCGCCGCTCGACTCGAGCCGTCGGCAAACTCGCCTTGCGACGACTGGTTCGACACGGGCATCGTCGTCGAGACGGCGCCGAGGAGCTGCAGGATGCGGGCGTAGTGCAGGAGGTCGTCGGACGTGCCCGTCAAGGTCGAGGCCGCAAAGTCGGGCTCGTCGCGCGAGTACAAGGTGCGGTTGGCGGGCGCCGGCGACGACGGCTCGCCCTCGACGACGGCGACCTCGGGCGCGTGTGTCGCGTTCCACGGGACGAGAAGAGGGCGAGGGTGGCTGTAGTAGCCGTCGATGTCGCTGTACCAGCCGCGCTCTTCTGCGTGCGCTCGAACCTCGGGGTCAGTCGACGCTCGAGGAAGAAGGAGGGAGAGGAGTGAGCGAGGACGCACTTGGCCAGAAGTTGCGCATCTGGTAGTTGATCGCCGTCATGTGGTGCACGACAGGGTCGGGGAGGTCGGGAGGAGGCTTCCTGCGAGGCGGACAGGGAGGACACCGGGTCAGTGCTCGGACGAGTCGCGCAGCATTTGCCGAAGAAAGACTGGACGAGGGGACGTACCACCAGCCGAAGAGCCAGACGTGGTAGGCGAAGAACTGCGAGTGTGCGCGGGGCACAGGGAGGGGAGCGGGAGAGGGCGAGACGAGGTCAGGATCCTGGAAGAGGCCGACGACCAAGACAGAGTGAGAGGGGGGCGCACCTGGCTCAAAGGAAGCATGGCGATGCGCAGGCGCTCGCCGTCGCGAAGCCCGTCAAGCTCGTCGACAAAGTGCCACTGCTCGCGGCGGTTGCGCTCCTCGTAAGTCGTCGGCGCCTCGGTCGTCGTCTCGTTGGCCGCCGACTCGCCCTCCTCCCACCACCCTGGGAGCCACTGCTGCGTCCAACCGTGCTCGTGGACCGACTGGGCGACCACCTCCTGGTCCCACCCTCCTCGCGCGACGTACTGGCGGAGCGTGCTGCGCCAGAACAGCGTCGTCGCCATCGTCGGGCGCATGAGGAAGAAGCCAAAGTTGGCGACGTGCCACCCGTCCTGGGTCATGAGCATGTCCCAGCCCGGGTCGAGGCCCTCGGGGTCGACGAGCGAGGCGTCCGAGGCGGCGGCGGCGGCGGCGGCTTGGTCCTCGGCGGCGGCGGCGACATGAGCGCGCGGCAGGGCGAACGGCGAGGGCATCCGACGACGCTCGTCGATCGAAAGGTCGGCGGGCGCGACGCCGAGGGAGGACGGGTCGGGACCGGCGACGAGAGGGCGCATCGAGTCGACGAACGGGTTCTTGGTGAGGGCGGTGTCGGCCTCGAAGAAGAGCGACGCAAAGCCGGCGGCGTTGATCTCGTACAGCGCTCGGAACTTGATGTACTGCATGAACGCGCCGCGCTCGGCGCCGCCGTCCCGACCCTCGCGCTTGTCGAGGATCCGTGCGCCGCTCGCGCCACCGGGGCGCGACGAGCTCGCGTCAAGCGGCGGCAAGTCGGGCACCTCGAGGCCCTGCCCGACGACTGGAACGCGTGACGCGTACGCCTCCTTGACGAACCCGCCGTACGCGTGCAGGCCGTGCGCCTCGGCCTCGTCGAGACAGGCGGCGTCGAGGCACAGGACGACGACGTTGTCGCGGTGCAGGCCGAGGTCGCGAGCGCGCAACGCCCAGATGCGCACGGCGTGGACGTACCGGCCGTCGCACATCGTGAGGAGGACGACGTTGCGGTCGTCGGTCGTCGAGTACGACGGGTGCGGGAGCGGCGTCGTCGAGCGGCGTCGGTCGGCGGCCGGGTACGAGTCGGGGTCGTTCGACGCCGAGCCGTTGGTCGTGTTCGAGGTCGCGAGGATGGACGAGGTCGAGGCAGGGACGGGGAAGGGGACGAAGGAGATGTTGGCGAGGTAGTCGCCGAGCGACACGGTCGGGTCGCGCTCGACGCGCATCGGCCGCCGCCACGGCTCTTCTGCGCCCCACAGCCACCCTGTCACACCGTGCGCCGCACCGCTCAGCTTGTCCCGCCAGCCGCTCGCGCCCTCGAGGTCGTCGGCGAGATGGCGCAGGTGACCGGCGGCGGCCGTCGTGACGAGGATGCCGCCGAGCGTCGCGAGCCCGACGGCGAGGACGGCGACCGAGCGAGCTCGTCGTGCGTCTGGTCGCCAGTGCGCGACTGCCCGCAGGAGGGGGACGCGGGCGGCGAGGCGAGTGAGGAGGCCGTCGTCGTCGAGGTAGTCGCGTTTGAGCGGCGGGCGCTCGACCGCCCAGCCGTCATCGTCTCCTGGCCGAGTCGTGTTGCCGAGGAGCGAGTGCCCTGCCTGGTCGGGGCTGGTCGGGGCCGTGTCGAGTGGGGTCGAGGCGGTGGTCGATGGCGAGAGGAGCGGCACGAGTCGGTGCGCCTCGAGCGGGGCTGTTCGGGGGGCAGGCATGTCGGCCCTGGTGCTGTCGTGCCAGACAGCGAGGCAGGGGCAGCTCTCGACGACTGTCGCGCGAGCGCGCTGGAAAGTCGTGGCCGCCAGCGCCCGACGGAGCGCCAGCTCGCGCTCCTCGCGCGTCTCGCACACTTCCCTATCTGAGCAAGTTTGATTCGCAAGGGACCGGCTTTCCGGGTGGGAAGCGGAGGCCCGATCGGCGCTCGACGCTCCTCCTCGCTCAAGCTGCTCTCGCTCGCGCCGCACACGCTCACGACGGCCGCCGGCCATGCCGCCGCCCTCGTCCTATCAGCCAGTCGGGGCGCACCCCTCGCCGTCCACCTTCGAGCGCACCTCGGCCGTCCTCCGCAGCCGACGAGTGCACGCCCTCGTCGCCGCCTGCTTCGTCCTCGCCCTCGTCACCTGGACGTTCCCCGCCACGGCGTATGACGACGTTGCCGCCCACGTCGCCAAGCTGCACAGCGACGCCGCCGCACTCGCACCCTGGCTCGGCGTCGACGCGCTCGCGGGTTCGGGCGGCGAGGCGAGCGGCAGTGTCGACGCAGCGGCGACGCGGTGGCCCGAATGCAAGCCTGCGCAGCCGAGGTCCGACGACGGCGTCGACGCGCACGAGCACCGCGTCGCGTACCTGTTCATGGTCCACACCGAGGAGACGCTCGAGGGCGCCCGCCAACTTGTCGAGCACCTGTGGCACCCGGACGACCTCTTTGTCGTGCATGCCGACGCCAGGATGAACGACTCAGTCGTCGAGCGGTACCGAGCGAGCATGGGCGTCTGCGGCAACGTCCAGCTCGTCGACGAGGAGCGCGTCGACGTCGAGTGGGGCAAATGGGTGCGTCGCCGCCGCTCGGGCCTCTCTCGCCTCTCTCTCTCTCTCGGTTCCGTCACTGACGTTCAACCCGCTCCGATACAGAGCGAGGTGTTCGCCGAGGTCACGCTCGTGCGGCACGCACTGCGCAGCGACGTGCCTTGGACTAAGACGATCCTCGTCGACGGCACGTCCTGGCCTCGTCTCGGCGCCGCCGACCGCCAGGCGTGGCTCTCGAGGTGGCAGGCCACCCTCGAGGCCGGCGGCGACGGTCCACCACCCGCGCCGGTCTGCAAGGCCGAGTGCTCGCGCGTCCTCGGCCGGCGCGCGTGGGACGTCACCTGCATCGACTGCGGGCGAGGACCTGCGCGGTGCGTCGATGCCGAGTGCACGGCGCTCGACCTGACGCCCGGCGGAGCCCAAGTGCGCAAGACCCACCAGTGGTTCCTCCTCACGCGCGACATGGCCGAGTACGCCGTCAACGGGCCCGACTACGACGCTTGGGCCGCCTACTTCATGCAGGTCCACGCGCCGAGCGAGCACTTTTTCGTCACGATGCAGTACACCCAGTACCCGACGCTCGGCGACCTCCCTCCCGCCGTCTACGTCGACTGGGTCCGGCCGTGCAAGTCGCACAAGTCGACCGATGGCTCGCACCCTTGCGAGCTCGGCATCAAGGACCTCGAGCGCATCCGCCACGGCGACGGCCTCTTTGCGCGCAAGATCCGCCTGAACGAGACGGCGCTCCGGACAGCGCTCCTCGACGGGCAAGAGGCCGTCGTCAGCTTCCCGTCTCTCGAGCGAGCTTCTTCTTAGACTTAGACCCCTTCCTCCCTGCCCTAGATCCTTGTACTCTCTGCAACACGATCTTGACGACGACTCGAGGCGCACCTGACCCGACCGCGACGGTGGCAGAGACGCGCTCGGCCCGGTCGCTTTCGTCGAGTCGCTTTCACGTTCGCACGCGATTTCGCTCTGCTCTCTCTCTCTCTCGCTCTGCCTCTCTCGCTCGGTCGTCTGAGCCCTCGCGTGCTGTCGACGAAAATCTTGCACCGCAGGAGGCGAGCCTGCGTGAGCTGTCGCGGCGAAAGGTCGACTTGAGAAGGTCGACAAGCGCCAACGGCTCCGGGTCCGAGTACCTCAGTTCGGCAGTGCGCGACATCGATGCGAGCCCGTGAGCAGGAACAGTAGACAGCATCGAGACTGGCGCGCTCGATAGCTGGACGTATGCATAGGAGAACCGCCGCCGCTTCGATCGAGCGAGCGCACGTGGCAGGAACCTGGGCCCGCGCCGGACCTCCGAGCGCCCCTGCCGGCAGCTGGACGGACGGCTGCTGTGCCCCTCGGCTGTGCCCCTCGCCCGCCCTGCTCTGCGTCGACCTCACTCGCAGCTCCTTGCACCCCGCCCGCCATCGACCGAGCGCAGACGCGACGCCCACCGCTCCTCCCACCCCGACCTCACCGCCTCCTGCGCCCGCGACCTCGACAGCGCAGCACCAGCATGTCCCGACACGCCGCCTCGTCAATGTCCCTCGACGCGGACGCGGTGAGTCTCGATATCGCTGTCGGGGCTGTCGTCGCCGCTCCCTCGCCGTCCGCCCTCCTCGCACGCCGCTGACTCTTTGCCTCAAGTGTGAACAGCCGCTCGTTGGCGGCGATCGCGTACCCGGCATGCGCCCACTTCGTCCCACCACGGCGCGCAAGACCCGCCCCGTCCTCTGCGTCGTCGCCTTGCTCGTCGTCGCCAGCCTGTTCAGCCTGCATTGGCGTGCTCAGCCCGTCGCAGAAGCAGACCCGGTCCACCAGCACCTCGTCAGCAGCACGGCGGTGACCTGCGCAAACCGCACCGTGCCGGCGTGCCCACTCGGTCGAGCCGACCTCGACAAGGCGCCGCAGGACCTGTTCCGCCTGTCGACCGTCACCGAGTCGCCGACGGCCGGTCGGCCACTCTACGTCGAGATCAGCACGACGACCGAGAGCAACTCGACGTGCGTCCTCGAATCGTCGACGTTCTCCGTTGTCGTGTCGGGCCCTCGCATCCAGCGGGCTCAGCTCGTCGACGCGTCCGCCGGGTCGCTCCTGTACGCCGTCCAGCTCGACGAGCCGGGCGAGTACCGCATCGAGGCGTACCTGCGCCTCTTCAACCACCCGCTGTACTTCTGCGACGTGTCGGACGCCTTCCACGGCGCCCGCTACGTCGACCGGGTCGTCGAGCACGGCAACACGACCATCGCCGTCCGGCCGAGCTGGGCAGCGAGCCTGCCGGCCCTGTCGTCCTCGCCGTCGAAGCGGCCTTGTAAATACGGCGACCTGTACGACATGCGCGGCTCGTGGGTCGAGGCGCCCGTGCCGGCGACCGCGCAGGGCAAGTACGAGAAGCAGCACAACTGCGCCCTCGCCGACCTTCCCTCCCCGGTCGAGGCTTTCGAGCTCGCGCGCAGAGCCGGCATTCGCTGGCTCCGCTTCATCGGCGACTCGAACACGCGCAACATGTACGACGCGTTCCCGCTCGTCGACCCGGCCAACACCGCGTTGCGGTCGATCCGCCGCACGCCGCCGTACAACCTACGCTCCTCGTGCGGCGCCTTACACGACCCACCGAGCGCCAAGGAGCGCAACTGGCGTGCCACGCGACAGTTCTGCCGCGTCGGCATCGTCGAGGGCGATCCGCAAGCCGACATTTTCGTCTCGTGGGAATGGTTCACGCCCGTGCACGATCCTCCTCTCGCCGCCTACTTTGCCGACGACGACAACGCCTACTTCGCCAACGCGACGCTCGGCGGCCTGTTTGCGCTGCGCGAGGACGACGACCGTCCCGGCACGGCTCGCATCGAGGACATCCTCGCCGACCGCCCGGACCTCCTCGTTCTTCGCGGCGGCGACCGCGTCTTCCTGTCTTACGGCTCGCACGCACACGAGCACACGCGTGACGACATGAACCTGTACATCGACGAGGTGGCCGCCGCGGCCGAGCGCCTCGCGTCACTTGAGAAGGCCGACCTCTCGAGCCCGCAAAGGCGCCTGTCGTTCGGCCTATCGACGGCAAAGTCGTGCCGCAAGTTCAAGGTGCGTCCTCTCTTTCTTCAAAGTCTCCTCGAGCCTCGTATGCCTGCGATGCAGCCGTTCAACCGCGCTCATCTTGGCCCCCCCCTCCCCTCCCAATCTCTCTCTCTCTCTCTCTCTCTCCCCTCCCCTCCTTTCTCTCCCCTCACGCAGGACGCGCCCAAGATCACCCCCGCCCTGTTGCGCGTCTGCCACTCGGAGAACTTTCACGACAAGAACCTCGCCATCCTGCGCGCATTCGCGGCGCGTGGGTTCACCGGCCCTGACGGCGAGTCGGTGCCGCCGGCGTCCCGGTCGCCGAACCTCGCGCCGCTCGACGTGCTCGACTTTTGGCACACGACCGAGGCCATCGAGGACTACATGACGGACAAGGTGCACTTTGGTCCGGGCGTGTACTTTACGCACGGCCGGGTCATGGCCACGTCGGCCTTCGAGCGCGAGGTTTGAGCGCCGAGCCGGACCTCTCTGTAACGATCGACTTGCCCGTTCCGCGCATCTCTCGCTCTCTCGCGTGTTCTCGCTCAACACAGAGAGTTGCGAAGAGAAAGAAAGAACCTTTTCCGTGCAACCGTCGAGGGCTTTCCGGACGGGCGAGCTTGAGAAGGTCCCGAGAAAACGCAAGATGAACAGGGAAGGCCAGCTCTACAGTCGCAGAGAGTTCCCTGCAAGGTACGGCACGACTAGCATTGCTGCTCGACATGGCGCCGCAGGACGTCGAGCCACACTGCGCGCGAAAGGGTGCAAGCGAGTCAGGCTCGGCGCCGAGAGAGGGAGTGTGAGAGAGGGCGCAGACGCACTGTTGCTGTACACCCAGTTGCCTGGGAGCGGGAGAGGGTGTACGCCGTCGACGGTGCCGTGAAACTGCTGCCCGTCGAAGACCTTGCCCCACTCAAGCACCTTGATCCGCTCGCCGAGCGCGAGCTCGCGCACCTCGTCGCACGTGCGGTTGCTGCGCCACGACGCGCCGAGTGTCGGGACGACGTCCTCGGTCCATCGCGACCACCTCGTGCCCGTCTCGGCGGCGGCCGACTCTTGCTGAAGCAGCTCGACGACCCGGACGGCGACGTCGTCTTGCGCACGGACCTTCATGACGGGCCACTTGTTCTCGCCATAGACCGTGTGCAGGCGACCTGCTAGTCGAGACGTGCGAAGGAAGGGCGAGGAAGGGAGAAAGTCAGTGCCGGGAAGTGGTGCGCCTGAACGAGCGCCGGTCGCGCAAAGGGGGACGAGGAGAGGGGAAAGAGACGAGGGACGCACGCCAAACGAGCTTCGTGCTCCCTCTCGCTGCGCCCCACGCACGTGCCACGTGCTCCACTGCCTCCTGCACTCGCACCTCCCACCAGTCTTGCCGCTCGCGCGTCGGCGGCGCCCACGCGCCGAGGTCATGCGCCCAGCTCCCCGTCGGGAGGGGAAGCTCGTCTGGCCGCCTCATCAAGTTCCAGAACGTCGCCGTCGTGATGAACAGGTCTGGCGCGGCCGATATCGGGTAGGACGATGCGGGCGAGACGGACGTCGGGGCGGCGAGGGCGGCAGCTCGGTCGGCTCGGCGGCGCTCGGCGAGGTTCTCGAGGAGGGGCACGACGAACGTGTCGAAGCGACCTGTGACGAGGGGGATGGGGGACGAGAGGAGATGAGGAGGGAAGAGGGAAGGGCAGGAGTGGGTCAGTGCGGCGTCGACTGCGCGCGAGAGAGCGAGTGGAGGGAGAGAAGGACAGCGGCTGTACCCTCAAAGTCACCGGGAGGCAGGAAGTGATGGTGCCTCGTCAAGGCCTCGTCCTCGGGAAAGAGGCCGAACTGGAAGACGTTGACGAGGTGGAAATCATGCCGCTCGACGCGGCACACGTGCGGGACGCCCATCTCGGACGCAGGCCAGTCGGTCGTGTTGCGGTGCGAGACGTCTGCGAGGCGCGACAAGGGCGTGCGTCAATGTCGGAGCGATGCGACGAGGAGAGAGGAGGTGCAGGGACGCACACCCTGGAGGAGCGTGTTCCCGTCCGAGAGGCAGCGGCGGCATCAACGGGTGGTCCTTGCCGATCGTCTCGAGCTCGCCGGCGCAGAAGTCGCAGAAGTGCTTGAGGGCGCTGTACGGTGAGAGGGGTCAACTTGGCGCGTGCTCGAGAGGAGGGCGCGGGCGCACAATCGGTCAACCGAGTCGCCGAAGAAGACGACGACGCGTCCTCGCAGGAAGTCGAGCTCGTGATCGGCATCTCGATCGGACGCGAGGGCCGTCATGTAGTCGCGCGGCCTGCACTGCGAGAGTGCGGGCTCCCAGAAGTTGGCCGACCGGTTCTCGTAGTCGAAGCGCAGCACGCCTGGTAGCGCGTAGGCGTCGCAATCGTCGTCCTGCGGGTGGATGCCGAGGAACGTCTTGACGTTGGCGGTGGCGGCAGAAGGTAGGCTCGGTTCGAGGATGACGACGAGGACGAGGACGGCGAGGACCACGAGAGCGACCCGCTCGAAGATGCGGCATCGTCCATTCCTCGGGAGGCCGACAGCCTGTACGCGCGAGAGTAGGCGTTAGTGTGGACTGTTGCGCGGCACGTCGCGTCGGGGCGCGAAGGAGAGAGAACTCACCGGGGGAGAAGCCCACCTCGGCAGCTCACCGAGCTCCTCCAGCTCGAGCGTGTCGTGGTCTGAGCCGCGCTCGCCGCCGTCGAGGAGCGGGTCCGAGGATGTCGGCGACCGGATCTTGGCGTCGTCGAGCATGTTGGTCGCGGCGACGCGAGGCGGGGAGGAGGGGAGAGCTCGTGCGCGGTCGCGACGCAGGGAGAGCAGGCGCGCAAGGTCGAGCTCGCCGAGCGCGTCGGAAGCACGGGATCACGAACGAGGTCGTGGACGCAGAACGCAAGGCAAGGGAAGACGCAGAGACCAGCGAAGCGGCGCGAGTCGTTCGTCCCCCGCCTCGGGAGCAGGCGGGCTCTGAAAGGAGCGCGTCGAGAGCGTCTCCTCTCTCGCGCTGCTCAGAGCCGTCCTCAATGGTAGCACTGTCACGAACACGCACAGCTCGACCGAGGTCGCGAGAGCGAGGTCGAGGACCACCACCTGCGCTGAGCGAGCTCGACGCGCGACGAAGGCAGCGACAGCGGTGCGACGAGCGCGCGCGCGTATAGCCGCGGCAAAGCTCAAGAGGTAGCTGTCCGGCACCGAGCTGGCGCAGGTAGGCCAGGGCCGGTGAGAGCGAGAGCGACGAGGGCAGAGTCTCGTCCTCGGAAACCTCCCTTGTTCCTCGTCCACCGCATCTCAGCTCGCCCATCATGGCACGTGCAGCTCTCTTGCCCGCTCAGAAGTACCGAACTGACCCCTCTGGCAACAGCGTCCCATCATGCTGTCCGGCCACGAGCGCGCTCTCACCCGTGAGCACCTCTTTCCCTCGACCCTCCCCATCTCCCTCATCTCCCTCGTTCGGCACAGTCCCTGGCCGTGCACCGAGTATGCCAGCGAGCTGCAGAGCAACCGAGTGTCGATCTGGGCCAGGTCGTGGCTGTCGCGCACGAGCTGACCAGCCTTCTTCCCCTCCTTCCCTCCTGCTCATCTCCCTCCCCATCCCGCGTCGTCTCGCTCTCGACGCCGCCTGGTTCGCTGCCCGCAGAGGTCGTCTACAACTCGGAGGGCGACCTCCTGTTCTCCTGCGCCAAGGACCACGTCGTCAACGTGTGGCGGTCGCACAACGGCGAGCGCGTCGGGACTTACGACGGCCACAACGGCACCGTCTGGACCGTCGACGTCGACAGTGCGTCCCAGCTCTCTCCCTTCCTCTCTCAGTGGCGAGGAGCGCGCGTGCCGCGGCGAACGTCTAGACGAGGCGCAGGAGCGCTCGCACGACACCTCGACTGACCCACCTCTTCTCGCGCCGCGACAGCCACCTCGTCCCTCCTCGTCACGGGCTCGGCGGACAACATGATGAAGCTGTGGAACGTCAAGACGGGCGAGTGCCTGTACACGTGGGAGTTCCCGACTGCCGTCAAGCGCGTCGCGTGGAGCGAGGACGACCAGCGCGTGCTCGCCGTCACCGAGAAGCGCATGGGCTTCCCCGGCGGCGTCTCGGTCTTTGCCATCAACCGCGACGACCTCAAGTCCCGTGCGTCCCACTTCCTCTCGTCTTCAGCCTCTCGAGCGAGCCCGACTTCTGACCGCTCGTCGCCCGTTCGCAGAGTCGAAGGAGCCGCAGTTCACGATCAAGCCTACGGGCTCCAAGGCGACGGTCGCAGCGTGGTGCAGCCTCGACGAGCTCATCGTCACCGCGCACGAGGACGGCACCCTCAACCTGTGGGACACTGTGCGTCGTCGGACTTCCTCGCGCTCGCGCTCTCGACCGAGCGAAACTGACTCGTTGCCTCCCGCCCGCAGGAGGAGGGTCTCTTGTTCTTCGACAAGGAGGAGCGGGGTCACGCGGGCGTCATCACGGACCTGCAGATGTCGCCGGACGGCACCTACTTTGTCACGTCGTCCAAGGACAAGTCGGCAAAGGTGCGTCGCGCCGTCGAGCCCTTCTCTCCCCCTCTCGCAGAGACCCCCCCTTGCTCACGCTTCCGTGTCCCAGATCTGGTCGGTCGGCCCGCACAAGAATGCGCACGGCGAGGAGGAGTACCTGACGCTCATCAAGACGTACACGGGCGAGCCGCCGCTCAACTCGGCAGCGATCATCCCGGGCAAGCCTTACGTGCGTCCCTCGCCTGTCCTCCTCTCTCTCCAACGCACCACGTGTCGATCACTCACCTTGCTCCCTCGCGCGCTCGACAGGTCGTCATGGGCGGCGGCCAGGAGGCGATGAACGTGACGACGACCGGTGCACGACAGGGCCACTTTGAGGTCCGGTTCTTCCACCGCATCTTCGAGGAGGAGGTCTCGCGCGTCAAGGGTGGGTTCGGCCCCTGCAACAGCGTCGCCGTGCACCCGCAGGGCAAGGGCTACGCCATTGGCGGCGAGGACGGCTGTGCGTCCCCCCCCTCCCCCCTTCCTCTCCCTCTCTCTCTTCCTCGTGTGCAGCGCTCACGTCGCACTCGCTCACTCGCAGACGTTCGTGTGCACGAGTTCGACAAGTCGTGGTTCGACGCGAGGCCGTACGGACCGCTCGAGCCCGAGGAGGACTAAGGAGCGCATCCCGGATCGTCGCACGTGTACGGTGCTTGTACCGCTTTCTTTCCCCTGGCTCTCGGACGTGACTGGCCGGGTGAGAGAGAGAGAGAGCCGCAGCGAGCTACGCAAGGAAGCGACGCTCTCGAGGAGGATCGTGCGCAAACTCGTACCTGTCACCGCGCGGCGCGCGCTCAAGCTTGCCGATCGGCTGGAAGGACGCGACGGCCGGAGGCGCGCTAACCTGCATAGCGTCCTGAAGCTCGCGCTGAGTCGTCCACCTGCTCTCACGCCCCGCCACGACAGCTCGCCTCGTTGTGCAGGTGCACGTTGCTCGCCGGCCATGACGGCAGCTGCCTCCGAGTTGCGCACGGTGTCCATCCCGCTCCTCCAGCCGCAGTACGCCGATGAGGACGACGACGACGCGCTCGACCACGTCGAGCTGGCCAAGGTGGAGCCGCCATCGCGTGTCCGAGCCCAGTGGTCATCGCTCAAGGCGCAGTACAAGCGCTACCGCCGCAAGACGACGCCGGTCGCGGTCGTCGCCGGCCTGTTTGGCGTCGCCCTCGTCGCCCTCGCGTTCCCGCTCTTCCCGGTGCGCCTCCTCTCACGTTCGGGCTCGCGTAGGTGGACCGCAGACGCTCACCTGGTCACCTCGACCGACACAGTACCGCCGCGTCCTGCGCCAGAACCTGTTCCCGTCCCACGACCTCGCTCCTCCACCACTCGTCGCGTTCAACGACTCGACCCCGGCACCCGAGCGGTTCCGCCTCCTCCACGACGACCTGCGCACCTCGTACACGGCGGGCGACGTCCTGCTCGCGAGGGTCGCCAGTCCCGGGCCCGACGTCGACGCCGCGTCGTGGCTGCGGCTGAGCGTAGTCGGCGAGCGTGGGCAGCGGTTCTCGGGCATCCCGACGCCCAAGCCCGCTCACGGCTGGGTCGTCCCGCTCCTTGAGCCGGGCAACTACTCGCTGTCGGTCCGCCTCGTCGCGTACGACATCCCCGACTGGCGCGACCGCCGGACAGGGAGCACGCCCGGCTTCCCCGACGACGCGCCGCCCATCTACGCGCACTGCTACAACGACACGGTGATCGACGGCGAGTTCGAGTTCGAGGTCCTGCCGCTCGAGGACCGCGGCGACGTCTTCGAGCGGGCCCGAGCGGGCGTGGCGGCCCTGCCGCCGTCGGTGCGGGCGCCGGAAATGGACGTCGTCGGGACGCTCGCCGGCAAGGCGTGCTACCACGGCTCGACGTCGCTGTGGGGCTGGTGGAGCGGCGACCGGGCGCCGTCCACGTACCACGCCTACTCGGGCTGTCGCCCGCTGTCGACGACGCAGGCCGACACGCGCGACTTTATCACGGCCCTGCGCGACACGTCGATCCGGTGGATTCACGTTCTCGGCGACTCGAACTCGCGCAACTTTGTCAAGGACGGCCTCCCTGTCCGCCTCATGCTCATCCCGCGAGGGACGTACCCGCCCGAGCAGGAGCCCGACGGCGTTGACGGCACCTGTCCCTGCATCTACGGCGTCAACCCGAAGAACGGCAAGGACGAGCAGTTCCTGTGCCTCCTGTTCCCCAAGGGCCGCACGACGCCGCTCATCTTCTCGCACGCGTGGTTCAGCCTGGCCGACAACGACTCGGAGCCGCTCGACGTCGTGTACCGCCGCACCCTGCGCGAGGCCTACCGCGACGCGAACCACACGGCGCAGCTCCTCAACGAGTACTACGGGGGCCGGTTCGGCAGGTACGACGAGCGCATTTTCCCGCACACGGTCGAGACGCTCCTCGCGCCCTGGCCCGAGCTCCTCAACCTCACGTACGCCGACCACACGCTCGTCAGCTTTGGCAGCCACAACACCGAGGCGACGTCGGCCGACTGGACCGCCGAGCTCGACAACCTGATGTCGATCTGGCCCCGGTCCAAGCACGAGCCGGAGCTCGTCTCGCCGTCGCAGCCGAGGCGCGAGGACCTCAGCTTCGTCTACACGACGCCGGTCAACTCGTTCCTCATCCCGGAGGTGCGTTGCGCGCTCTGCGCTTCTCTCCCCCTCTCCCTCTCGTCCTCGCCGTGCGCTCGCCCGACCTCGAGCTCGTCTCTGACCCCTCCCCTCCCTCTCTCCCTCTCCTTTCCCCTTGCCCGACACTCCTCCTGCCGCAGAAATTCGGCCGCCAGTTTATCGTGCGCAACAACAACCGCAACGAGGCGCGCAACGAGCTCGCCGCGTCGTACCTGTCGTCGCACGGATACCTCGCCGAGCAGGCGCCTTCTCGCGACGGCGTCAAGGCGCGCGCGTACCTCGTCGACTTTTACGGCTCGATGCACGCCATGCAGGAGGTCATGCACGACGCCGTCCACTTCAACACGCACAACTACGCCGTCCACACGCAGCTCGTCCTCGACCACGTCGTCCTCCGCGCGGCGGGCGCGCCGTAGCGCGGCGACCGTCGTCCGGCGCACCCTTCCTCCTCTCCCGCACACTTGCCTGATCGTCCTCTCTTGACCCCTCTACACGTCCTGTCTCTCTAGAGCCCTCTCCTCCGTCCCCTCGCACTCGTCGTCCTCAGTCGCTCGGTCCCTCCGGTTTCACCTCGTTCGTCTATATCGCTTGCGCGAGATACAGCATTCTGTAGTCTAGCCACACCTGCATACACTAGTAGAGCTCGCACTGCCCGTCGAACAAGCGAGGGGAGCTCCGTCGAGGTTGGCCCGCCGCGAGCTCGTCGCCGTTGCCTCGTCGACCGGGACACGCTCCTCGCCTGTCGCCACTTCTCTGCTACAGCGACCGGCAGCGCACCGCCAGCAGCACATCGACCAGAGCCGCCTACAACTGTCGCCGTCTTCGTCTCGCCCCGCCGGCTCTCTCGCCCTCGTCGTCCTCTTTCCCCACACGATGAGCTCTTCAGCACCGCCAGACGGCGGCCTCGCCCCGCCAAGCGGCCTGCTCGCACGACGCGCCAAGAACCGCAACAAGAAGGGCCTCGCACTCGGCAGCGAGGCCGTCAAGCCGGGCACGCTCGCCGGCAGCGACGCCTCCGACCTCCTCCTCAAGGCGCCCGCTCCCCCCGTTCCCGCACGACCACAGCCCATCCAGGTCGCCGGCTCGAGCAGGAGCAACCGCACGAGCGTCGTCAGCCTCGACTCGACCGACGGCGTGAGCCCGCTCCTCCCGACGACGCCGAGCCTGTCCAGCTCGAGCACCTCGACGAGCTCGCGCAGCTACCACAACCGGCTCAACGAGCAACTCGCGACCCTCGAGCTCGGCGTCGAGTTCAAGCTCGACCTGCGCAACGAGGACCTGCAGGTCCTGGGCGAGCTCGGGTGCGGCAACGGCGGCACGGTCAGCCGGGCCCTGCACGTCCCGACCAAGGTGGTCATGGCCAAGAAGGTGCGCCCCGCTCTCTCTTCCCGCACGTGCGGCGCGGCGACTGACTCGCGCCCCCTTCCTGCGCAGGTCGTCCACATCGCGACGAGCGACACGACGCGCAAGCAGATCTTGCGCGAGCTCCAGATCATGCACGACTGCTCGTCGCCCTACATCGTCTCGTTCTACGGCGCCTACCTGCAGGACCCGCACATCTGCATGTGCATGGAGTTCATGGACAAAGGGTGCGTCCACGTCTCTCCTGCCTCGTCGTCGAGGTCAGGCCCTGACCCGGTCTCGTCCTCGCCACAGCTCGCTCGACAACATCCACCGCAAGGTCGGGCCTATCCCCGAAGCTATCCTCGGCAAGATTGCGCTCGCCGTCGTGTCGGGCCTGACGTACCTGTACGAGGTCCACAAAATCATGCACCGCGGTCCGTCCTCCTCTCGGCGTTCCCTCCCGCGAATTCGTCCTGACGCCTGCGCTCTCTCTCTCTCTCCCTCTCGCCGCAGACGTCAAGCCGAGCAACATCCTCCTCAACTCGGCGGGTCAGATCAAGATTTGCGACTTTGGCGTCTCGGGCGAGCTCATCAACAGCGTCGCCGACACGTTCGTTGGCACGAGCACCTACATGAGCGTGCGTCGACCTCTCTCTCTCGCCCTCTCCCACTCGTCAACAGACACTGATTCGGCACTTGCACGCAGCCGGAGCGCATCTCGGGCGACCCGTACAGCGTCAAGTCGGACGTGTGGTCGCTCGGCATCTCGCTCGTCGAGCTCGCCATCGGCCGGTTCCCGTTCTCGTCCGAGGACGACACGCCTTCGTCGGACGACGAGGAGGAGGCGTTCGCGCGACTGTCGCTCGCCGGCGTACAGGAGGAAGGCGGCGAGGCGACCTTCTGCGGCGGCGGCGACGACGGCACGATCGGCGACGACACGTTGAGCCCGGCCAAGCCCGACAAGAAGCGCGACAGCATCATGCTCGCCGAGCGACAGCGCGCCGCCAAGCGCGAGTCGCTGCGCTCGCGCAAGCCGTCGGGCGCCGCATCGCGCAAGCAGGCGACGGGCGTGTCGCTCGCCGGGAGCGGCCACCAGATGTCGATCCTCGAGCTCCTCCAGTACATCGTCAACGAGCCCGCACCGCGGCTACCGGCGGGCCGCTTCTCGCCCATGGTCGACGAGTTTGTCGACGCGACGCTGCGCAAAGAGCCCGTCGGCTGGAACGTCAAGAAGAAGGGCCCGCTGCCCAAGGAGGTCGCGCGCCCGACGCCCAAGGAGCTCCTCGTGCGTCCACCGCCTCTCCTTCCTCCCCAACTCCCCTCCGTTCACGGCAGCTGACCTCGAGCGTCGAGCGCGCAGGAGTACCCGTGGCTGCGGCATGCGGCGGCCGACGACGTCGACGTCGAGGCGTTCGCCCGCTCGATCCCCCCTTGAGCGCATCCCTCCCTTCTCACATTCCCCTCGTCGTCCTCGAGGCGTGTCCAGCAACCTGTCTCGCGCCCATACCCTCTCCTCGCACGGGCACTGCCTCTGTCCTCCCTTGTACTCCTCCCTCCCCTGCCCTCGCGCGTCGAGATACCCCTCTTTCGCCCTTTCCCCTTGTCCTGCAACGTCTCGCTGTGCGAGTTGCCCGTGTTTACGATCATGACTGAGAGCTGGACGTTGCTCGAAGGCCAGAAAAGCAGAGACCCCCACCGAGCGGCCGCCGAGCCGAGCGTCGTCGCTCGTCTTCTGCCGCACTCCCACCACCTGCACGAGACGAGCCACCTCGCTCGATACCGCACCGCGACATGCCCGCCCTGGGCTGGCTGGGCCTGGCGCCCGACACTCGCCCTTCGTCCCTCATCGCCCTCGTCTCGAACTCGACCCTCGTCGTGTGTTGGCTCGTTCTCGTCAACGCCGTCTCGCCCTTCGTCCTCTCGTCCCTCTTGCACATTCCCGCCGCACGCGCAGGCGCCATCACCGGTCGCCTCCTCGCCGCCGACGAGCTCACCGCCCTCGCCCTGTACCTCCCCGCCGGCGCCCTCGGCGACCGCATCGGCGTCAAGTGGGTCGCCGCGGTCGGCCATGTCGTCGTCGGGTGCGCATTCGTCGCGTACGCGAGCGCGCGCAGCGTCAACGAGCTGGTCGCGGCGAGGGTCCTCTTCGCGGTGCGTCCCTCTCGTCCCCACCTCTCTCTCTCGACGCAGCTGACCTGGTCGGACGGCACAGGTCGGCGGCGGCAGTCTCGTCACGACGATGAGCTCGATGATGGCGACCATGTCGGTCGTCCCCGACGAGTGCGCCGCGAGCGACGAACCCGCAGACGAGCCCGACGAGCGCACCCGGCTCGTCTCGTCCTCGGCGCGGCGAGGCTCGACGGTCTCGACGGCGAGCTTTCGTCGACACGAGCCTGCGCGTCTCGCAGGCGTGTTGGGCTTCTCGAGCGGGCTCGGCGCCCTCCTCGCCGGTGCGTCCTCGTTTCCCTTGTCACCCTCGTCCCGACCGGCCTACTCACGTTGCGCACGTCGCTGCAGTATTCGGCTTCCTGCGCCTCCCCACCTTGCTCGCCAACCTATCCCCCGAGCCCGACTCGCCCTCGACCCTCGAGCAGGCCTTGCGCCGCACGCTGTACCTCGCCGGCGGCCTGGCCGTCTCTGAGGGCATCTTCCTCGCAGCGCTCCTCCCGAGCACGGCGTCTCGGTCGAGCGGGAGCGGGAGCGGGCGATCGAGGGCGGGCATCGTGTCGAGGATGAAAAGGGGGGCGGGCAAGCTCGTCGAGGGTTTCAGGCTCGCTCGCGGGTCGGGCGACGTTGCCTTGAGCTTTGCGGCGAGCTTTGCGTCGCGGGCGCAGGCGATCGTCGTGACGGCGTACATCCCGCTCCTCGTCAATCGAGTGCGTCCACCCTTCTTTCGCGAGCTTCCTCGTGCACGGCCGACTGACACCCTCACCCTGTCCCGCAGTACTTCCTCGACCACGACCTGTGCGACTCGGCAACGCTCGTCGGCTCGGCCCACGACTCTTGCCGACAGGCCTACGTCCGCTCGTCGATTCTCACAGGCGTCGTCCAGCTCCTCGCCCTCGTCCTCTCGCCGCTCGTCGGCCTCGTCTCGTCCTCCACCCGCCTCTCGACCTCGCACCCGCAAGCCCTCGCTGTCGCTGTCGCCTTCATCATCGGCGCCGCAAGCCTCGTCGCGTTCGCGTTCCTCCCAAATGGTGGCGACCCTCGAGCCGGCCTCTCGTGGCTGTACGTCGCTGGCCTCGGCGTCGCCCAGGCGGCGGGCGTCGTCCTGTCGCTCGCGCTCATGACGACGGGCCGCGGCACGGTCGTCGCCAAAGAGGGACGCGAGGTGGCGGGCACGCTGAGCGGGGCGTACGGCCTGAGCGGAGGTGCGTCCTCTCTTTTTCTCTCTCTCTCTCGCCTCCTCTTCCGCCCGAGCTTCGCCCTGACTCGAAACGTGCGGGCGTACGCAGGCCTCGGGATCCTCGCCGTCGGGTCGGGAGCGGGCTTCCTCTTCGACCGCCTGCCGGGCGCACCCTTCCTCGCCGTCGGCGCCGTCGACGCGCTCGTCGCGGCGGGCGCTCTCGTCCTGTGGCTGCGCGCCGACGACGCCGAGCCTCTGTAGCCAGTCTGTGTGTGTGTGTGTGTGTGTGTAACAACGAGCGCTCGGTCCTCCTCCTCTTGCGAGAGATTTGCGCGCGCCCGCGACAAGGTGGACGTTGCACGTGCGGACGAGGGAGCTCGACAGCGAGCCCGAATCGGTCGAGAGCCTCAGCCCAGAACGGCAGCTCGAGATGAATCAAAGTGTGGGGAGGCTGCCGACGAACGGGCCGGCTTCGACTCGCGCCGCCGCCGTCGCTCTCCTCCCACCCGCTCCCTGCTGCTCGCTTGCTCTTCTCGACCTGCTCGAGCTGTGCACCGCTCGAGAATGAGCCTATCACGCCGCTCGTGCGTCTCCCCCTCCTCTCTCTTCCTGAGCGTGCGACCTCGTCGCGCCGCCGGCCGGCTCCTCAAGCAACCGCAACGCACCGCTCACCGCCCACAGGTCTTTCGCCCTCGACGACGACAACGACGAGCTGTCCATCCTCCCGCCGCTGCCCGAGAAGGAGCCGATCTGGCGCCGGGCCAACATCCACCTCTCGCCCAACCTCGAGCACCGCGGCCGGTACAGCGCCCTCGAGCAGCGAGATCGACTCGCACGCCCTCGACCGGCGAGCTACCTCGAGCTCGACATGGCGGCGCAGCAGGAGGAGGACGGCGCGGGCGGGCCGAGCGGGCCACAGCCGCCGTCTGCACCACGACGACGACCTGTCGCGGCTTTCTGCTGGTTACTCGGCGCCCTGATGGTCGGAGCATCCGCCGCAACAGTCTATCGAGTGCGTCCCTTGCTCCCCTGAAGCCCGATAGAGAGGGTGCGCCGGCCATCCCGAGCTGACCTCGTCTCGCCGACAGCCATTCCGCCCTGTCGCCTTCGCCGTCCTCCAGCCACGGCCCGTGTGCCCCGACCCTCGACTCGCGATCCCTCCCTCCCTCCTCGAGGCGCAGCGCCGAAGCGCGCCCATCGACCTCCCCTCGTCCTCGCCCGACTTCTCGCTCGCGCTCGTCCACGACAAGCGCACGTGCAACGCCTTCGAGCTCACCATCAGCCGCACGAGCCCGTTGCGGTGCGCCGAGATGGAGAGCGACAACAACGAGCCGTCCAAGGACCCGACGCTCGCCGCCTGGATTCGCGGCAAGCTTGGTCCCGACACGTTCAACGTCCAGGTCGACGGCGCCGAGCGGCGGGCCGAGATGGTGCCGTCCGAGTACCTCGGCGACTGCGAGTACTTGTTCAGGTTTCGCCTCAACAACGCTGGGCGCCTGTGGCTCAACGTCTCGCTGCTGTACGAGGTGCGTGCGCGGGCGCCTTTTCTTCCTTTTTCTCGTTCCTCGTCCCGAGCCTAACCCATGACCTTCTCGCAGGACTACGAGGGCTTCAAGGAGATCGACGCCGAGAAGGGCTCGCGACCACGACCGCGACTGCTCATGCAGCGGCTCGTCGCCGAGCCGCTCGAGCTCAACCTGTGCGACGACGCCTGCCGACCCTACATCCCGCCTCGACTCGGCGAGCCTGTCGACCACATCTACGGCCTACCGACCTCGACCGACGACAAGGACGCACAGCTCGCCGACCGCCCCGACTGCTCGACGCTCGACCCGCTCCGCACGCCGCTCGGCCACTGGGTCCCGAGCAACCCGCACGACCTCGTCTACCCGCCTTTGCCCGTCCCGCTTCAGCACTCGCGCCCCATGGCCGGCCTGTACACGTTCGTGCCGTCGCTCTGCCACGCGTGGAACCACGACGGCCTGCGCTTCCGGGACCACGCGAGCTGCGTCAAGGAGGAGTACGCCGTCTTCCTCTTGGGCGACAGCCACGCCCGGGCCATCTACGACATTGTCAAGCATCGTCTCAGCGGCAACGACTCTGTCGAGGACAAGTCGATGAAGGCGGACAGCAAGAGCGGCGCCGTCGACAACCTGTACCTCGTGCGTCGCCGCCCGTCCTCTTCCACTCTTTCGAGCGAGCCCGACTGACGCTCGAGGTGCGAGCACACAGGAGTTTCGCTGGGACCCGTTCCTCAAGGCCGACGTCAGCTGCGACACGATCCGCCGGTTCGACTCGTTCGCCATCTCGACCGTGCGCCACACTTCCTCTCCCCCGCTCGGTCCCCCTGAGCGTTGCCCGAGCCCGTCCTGACACTTTACTCCTCACAGGGCTCGCACGAGGCGTGCTGGAACTGCCCGTCGACGTCGTCCTGGCTCGCGTCGATGGACGCCTTCTTCTCGACGTGGCCCGACCGCGTCGCCGCCTGCCTCGCCGGCCACCCGCCGTCCTCGTCCTCGTCGCGCCCACCAAAGCGCCCGCGCTACTTCTTCTTCAACATCCCGGCGACGCACCCGCAGTTGCACAACCACGACTGCCGCACGGGCCCGCGCATCAAGTACTGGAACGACAAGGCGGCCGAGCTGGCGCGAGAGAGAGGGTGGGAGGTCGTCGACGCGCACCAGTACACGCAGGCGGGCCAGATCGACTCGGTGTACGGCGACGGTATCCACTGTGCGTCCTCTCTCGCACTCTCTCTTCAGCGAGCCGAGCGCCGCCCGGCGGTCGTCGCCGAGCCGTTGCCGAGTCCACCTCGCTCGCTCGCTCACTCTCTCTCTCTCTCTCGACCGCCTGCAGATCTCGGACTCGATGCAGCCGAGCCCGTCGTCGACGACTTTCTCAGCAGGCTCGGCATTTGTGGCAAGGGCGGCGCGAGACGTAGAGCGTCGGGCGAGTGGATCTCGGAATAGAGCTCGCGTTCGACTTGCGGCGCTCGAGAGAGCGAGGAGCGAGCGAGAGCGACGAGTCAGAGAGCGCGACGAGGGAGAGAAGGGCACACAGAGCTTCACAGCGCGGGCTCAAAACGAGCGAGCTCTCGCTGGCGAGAGAAACCGAGCGACGCACGAGGGCAGCGAGGGCGAGGCGAGCACCGTCTCCTCGACTTCTCCGGCGAAAGAGGGACACTCGATGAGAAGGAGAAGATGCAGTGTTGCAAGATGCTCACTCTATGCCGCCGCCCGGTCCCTCGTTTATATCCTCCCGCCGAACCATCCTCCGCCGGTCTTCCTCTCCGGCTCGACCGGCAGCTCGCTCGCTCCTGCTCCCGGTCCTCGCGCCGGGTCCTGATCCCGCCGCACCTCCTCACCGAGTGCGCCGACCCGGATCCCTGCTGGGCCAGACGAGGGCCGCTCGAGGTCGGCCGCCGCCGTCGCCGGCTTGGGCCCCTTGGCGGCACGGCGGGCCTTAATCTCGGACACGAGGGCGTTCATGCGCGCTGCCTCGGCCGTCTGGCGGGCGCGACAGGTCTCCCTGTGAGGGTGACGACGGCGAGGGGGGGTTGTCGAGCGGGATGAGGGAGGAGGCACGGCGAGGAGGTCGCGAGGAGTCGTTGGGTTCGAGCGCGGCCGGTCGGCGCGGAAGTCGAGGATGGGGTTCGGGACGATGGCGATCACGCAGAGTGCGCAGGGAGGAAAGGGAAGGACGAGGAAGCAAGGTCAGTGTCATGCTCAAGGAGGTCCGGGAAGGCGAGGGAGGACGAAAGAGCGGACGAGGACGCACCAGGCACCCAAGCTGCCGACGCCCCAAGCTCCCACCGCCCAGTTGGCCGCCGCGCCCACCTCAGCCCACCGTCCCGCCCCACCGCCGCCGCCCATGAGGGTCCCGCGCCTCGCCGTGCGGCTGAACACGAACCGCAGACACCCGACGCTGACGCCGGCGACGATGCCGAACAGGAGCGAGTAGCGCGCGCAGGGCATGTTGGGCAGGCGCTGCAGGTCCTCGAGGGGCCGGATCGTCTTGGCCGCGTCGAGGACCGACGGCTTGTGCTGAGTGTTGGCGTCGTCGGGCGAGGCGGCCTGCGCCGGGTCGGCCGTGCCGTCGAGAGGGCTAGTGGGTGCGGCGTTTGGTGCTGGCGCGAGCCCTGAGGGCGGGACGGCAGACGACGACATGCGAGGCGGTGCGGCGGAGGAGGGGGGCAGGTGGCCGAGGATCGAGGCGTGTGGGCGGCTGCGTGGCGAGTCAAAGGCGGTCTTGGAGTGCGTGCGTATGCTTCTAGCTAGCTGTGAGCTCGCGGGAGGCTGAGATGGTGGTGGGAGGGCAAGGTTGGTTCTCATCAGCTCCAACGGGGCGGCGACGGGCAGATCCTCCTCGCAAGAGACACTTTCTCGCTCTCTCGCTGCACGGTCGTCGAAGCGACGCAAAGAGAGACAACGCAATCACGATGCAAGTCGGCTCTACCAGTGAGCCCGCCGGCGACGACAGCAACACGCCCTCAGGCCTCGTCCTCCTCCTTCTTCTCCGGCTCGTCCTCCTTGACAATGTCCATGCCGTTCTGCGGGTTCTTGCCTTTGCGCACCCACTCGGCGACGAGCGCCGGGTGCGGGTCGACGAGCTTGGCCTGCCGGACGTTGCCCTCGGCGACAATCTGGTCGGCGCGCTGCAGGACGAGCCGGATCAGGCCCGGCAGGTGCTGCCCGTACCACGAGTTGCTCATCGTCATGTCCTTGACGGCGCCGCCATCTGTGACGCGAGGGAGGGTGTCAGTTCGCGGCGCAAAGGCGGGCGAGAGAGCGAGAGAGGAACGACGACGACGCACAGAACCCGCCCTTCTCGTGCATCGGGACCCACTCGTCGTCCGGCTGATACAGCTCGAAGCTGCGGGACACGAGACGTCAGGGCGAGGTCCAAAGAGAGGAGAGAGAGAGCGAGAGCGCACCTTTTGCAGCCCGCCTCGCCCGCCTGGTCCCTCCAGCCGCCCTTGCGGACCCTTTGCGCGTTCTTGAGCTTGTCGAGGCAGTTCTGCGAGCGTGACATCGAGTCAGTTCGCGTCCACGAACAATGCGGCGCGAGGGAGACGTGCCTCGAGGTCTGCAGAACGAGGAGGCGAGGGTCAGTGCGAGGCGAGGGGGAGAAGCGAAAGGGCGCGAGCGCCGAGACGCACCCCTCTCGACGTAGTGGTACATGACGAGCGGCTCAAAAACGCGAAACGTGTTGTGGCCCTTGTACAGCGTGCCCGGGTTGGCGTTGCCCGGCTTGAGGTCGATGACGGGGATGAGCTGGCCGTCGGCCGTGACGATGCGCGCATTTTCCTTGCGCAGGTCGTCGTTGCGGAGGAAGTGCGCGCCGGGGATGTACCACCCAGGTGTCTTGGCCGAGCGCAGGAGTGACTGCGTGGCGGGAGAGGGCGGGGTGAGCTCGGCGAGGAGGGGCTCGAGCGCGAGGCGGACGCGGGACGAACCTTGGTGTACTCGAGCTTGCCGTACGGGATGGCGTGGTAGATGTCGCTGCGGTACAAAGAGCTCACGTCAGGTGCGCTCGGCCTGCGCCGACAGTGAGAGAGGGAGAGAGAGGGCGCACCGCAGAGTCTGCGAAGCAAGCACGCTCGCGTTGTCGGGCAGGCGCGCGAACCCGGCGTTCTTCCACGTGATGCGGCTCGCGGCGATGGCGTCGACGCTCGAGTAGATGTAGTTGTCGAACAGGAGCCTGCGCAGGGGCTGGTCGGGCATCTCGAACGTCGTCGCGGCGGGCAGGCGCTGGTGCGACGTGAGGGCGGGCGTCGCGACGTAGAACTCGTCGACGTCGCAGTCGAGGATCCAGTCCGACTCGAGGCCGTAGGTCCGAGAGCACGTCTCGAGCGAGTTGAGCTGAAAGTAGCCGCCTTGGTCTGCGAGAGGGCGAGTCGTGAGCGAGATCCGCGAGAGGGGGCCGAGCGAGCGAGCGAGGACGCACCGGCCTTGAACTTGTGCAAGACGACGACGCCGGTCTCCATCCACGGCTGCAGCACCTCGAGCGTGTTGTCGGTCGAGCCCGTGTCGTACCTGCGCGAGGGGTGAGCCGTGTCGGCGGCAGAACGGGCGACGAGGGAGGGAACGAGGACGCACAGGTAGAAGCGGTCGACGCCGTTGGCGCGGTTCTGCGAGGGCGCGCTCGGGTCAGCTTTCCATGTCGAGGTCAGGGAGGGAGAGAGAGAGACAGGGGACGCACGTAGAGCAGCCACTCGGTGATGAAGCGCGCCTCGTTCTTGATGCTCGCGCAGATGGCGATCCCGCCCACCTCGTTCTTGGGCACGTGCAGGAGCTCGTCGAGCGTGCCCTCGAGCGCGGCCGGGAGCTGGCTCGCGAGGAAGCCCGGCGTGTACTGGTACACGAGCGAGCCGAGGCCGCCACCGCCCGAGTTGAGCGAGTCGGACGAGGCGGCGAGGTCGGGGTCGCTCGACGCGGCGAGGCGCTCGAGGGGGGGCCGAGAAGGGGCGACGAGGAGCTCGTAGGCGAAGTAGCTGAGCCCGGCGAGGGGCAGGAGGACTGCGGTCGGGCAGGACGAGGGCCGTCAGGTCGCGTGCGCCGAGCGGGAAGGGGGACGCGTCGAGCGCGAGGAAGAGAGAGATGCGGGACGCACGCGCAAAGGCGACCCTGCTGTTGCTCATCGCCCAGTGCAGCTTGCGCGTGACGCTCATCGCGCGCGCGCGAGGCGAGGTGGAGGACGAGGGAGAGAGAGAGAGTGAGAGTGAGAGGAAGGGAGACGAGCGCTCGCGAGTCGTACGCGTAACGAGGCACCGCCAGATCTTAGCTCGCGCTGCGGGGCCGTCTACAGGAGACACAGAGAGGGGATCTATCAACATCGAGAGCCCGCCCGTCCCGCACAACTGGCGCTCCCGGTCACCCCACCGCCCAAAGTTGGTTTCCCTCCTCCTCGACTTTTGACATCGCGATCGCCTCGCTCGTCACCACACCTCCCGCCTGCGTGACCCTCGTGTCGACCTGAGCGCCGTAGCCTGCCGTCGAACCATGCTCGCGCCCTCTCACGCCGCCGCACCTCCCTCGGTCCCCCTCCCCTGCCCCGGTCCCGCACACCCACACGCCGCCCCATTGTCCTCCTCGCTCCTGCAGCACTCGCCCAGCGCGCCCAGCTGCCGTGCCGCACCGTCAACCTCGTCCCTGAGCCCGGGCACACGCTCGAGCGCGTCCTCGGCGAGCGCGGCGAGGTCCGCCGCAGCCGAGGGCGGGACGAGTGCGGCGAGTGGCGAGCGCGGCGAGACGAGGGCGAGGAGGAAGGTGAGGTTGAGGAGGACGGCGGACGGGTCCGAGGACGAGGTGAACGGGGTTGCGGCGGCGAGGCGGGTCGTCGAGAGGGTGTCGAGGAGCGAGGGGAGCGAGGCCGAGGCGGTCGACCGGCCGGCGATGGGCGAGGTCGGGAGCGAGAGGGCGAGGTGCGACAGGAGGGTGTTGACGAGGTCGGTGGCGGTCGGCGAGTCCTTGGCCGAGCGGAGGAGGAGGCCCGAAAGCGAACCGTTGAGCGACGCCCAGGTCGACTACGTGTGCGAGCGAGTTAATGCCCGAACGAACGAGGCCGCGTGGCCGCTAGAAAAAGATAGAGGAAAGACCGAGCCGGCGCACCTTGTTGAGCGTGACGGTCGTCTGTGACAAGGGCGCCCCGGGCGAGCCCGAGTCGGCGCCGGCGACGTCGAGGACGACGTACCCTCGAGGCTGGCCCGTCGCCTTGTCGAGCGGCAGCATCGAGTCGTACGCGAGCCTCGTCGGGACCCAGTAGGAAGGATACTTGAAGCGCGCAACCTGCGCGCGCGCGAGGGGCCCATCGAGAGAGAGGTCAGTGCGTGCGTGCGTGCGTGCGAGAGGAGGGCGCGGGTGAGGGGACGCACGTCGAGGATGAGCACCATGTCGTCCTCCTCGCAGTACCCGCCGATCGGGCTAAAGTGCCCGTCGCCCGTCTGGCCGAGCGTCGCGCGCGAGTAGCTGAGCGCCATGACGCCCTTGCCCCTGCTCGTCTCGCGCAGGTCGTCGCGGAACCGGGCGAGGCCCGCCTCGCGCTCGGCGGCACCGCCTGCTGCGTCGAGCAAGGGCGAGTGCACGACGGCGTCGAGCGAGTTGCACCGGCTCAGGCACGCGAATTCCGAGAGCGTGAGGCCGACTTGGGCGACGTCGCTCAGCGGTCGACAGCAGTCGAGCATGTCTACGGGCGCGGCACGAAGTACGAGTGAGCCCGACGTGCCCTAGGAAGACGCGCGGCATTTATGCGGCGAGAGAGGGAGAAAGAGGGAGAGGCGGGGCGCACCCTGGTCGTACCACCGCCAGCCCGACTTCCACCGCCGTTGCGGGTCGACACCGAGGCTGTTGAGGATCTGGACGAGCGTGCCGAGCTGCGTGCGGGCGACAGGGTCAGCTAGCCGGTGCAGACGAGGAAGAGGGGGGTCGCGAGGACGCACGGCGCAAAAGGCGGGCTCGTTCTGCGTCACCATTTGTGGCTGTGGGGGGAGCGCCGGGTCAGTGGCTAAGATTGGTCGCACGGAGGAGGAGAGAGAGGACATACTGCGAGGATGAAGTAGCTCTCCATGGTGCCCGCCGCGAGCGCCTTTGCGAAGAGCTGCTTGCCCTCGGGGCTGGCGAACGCCGTGCAGGATGGCGGCAAGGGCCGCTTGTAGAAGGAGCGCTGCGGTACGAGGGGCGGAGCGGCGGCCATGAGCGGTTGAGGGACGCTGGCGGCGGGCGTGGCCAAGTGGCGGCGTGCGAGGCGGGGAAGGAGGAGGAGCGTGGTGGTGCGCTGGAGCGCGGTGCGGGCGGCGAGTCGGGGTAGCAGGTTGGCGGGTTGTGTGGGGTTGGCGTGGCTCTGAGGGAACTGCGCGGGTGGGTTGCGGTTGAGCGAGGAAGACGAGCGAGATTCGGAAGAGGCGGTGTCACCCTCTCGCATCCTCACCCACCAGGGCCTGCGCTGCCTTGCGGTACATCACTAGCCTCATACAGCTCGCACCGAGCAGGACCACCCGCAGCCGCAGCCGCAGTCCTGCACCCGCGTGTCTCGCTTCATCAGCTCGACATCGAACCTCACCCGACTCTGGACCATGGGCAGCCCGCCAGAACCCTTCAGCTTCCCCGTCGACCTCGAAGAGCTCATCCGCTTCACCCTCGACGACCCTTTCGTCCAATCCATCGCCACCTCGTCCGCCAACACCTTCTTCCAAACTGTGCCCGCCTCGACCTCGACCTCGTCTTCGTCCAGCTCGCGTCGTTTGCGTGTGCGGCAGGACCACGAGTGGTCTTGCTGGGACCTGCTGCCGGCAGACTGGCGCGCATTCTTCGAGGGCGTGACGGCCGACGACGACCGCGATGCGCTCCTGCGACGACTGAGCGAGGGCCACTGTCCTGTGCGTCTCTCGGGCCGCTACCTCTCTCTTCCTCGACAGAGCTGACCCCTCGCCGTACTCAGGACGATGCGCCACCGACCCTCGCCGCCTACCTCGCCTCGTGTCGCACCCTCTCCCTCCCCCGCACCTGCTCCGACCTCCCCGTCGTCACCTACCCACCCTCGCGCACCCGCACCGCCCGCCCCTCTCGCACACCGGCACCGACCAAGCGCACGACCCGCACCGCCGAGGAGCGCCTCGCCAAGATCAACCTCAAGAACGCGCAAAACGCCGGCAAGTCCCCCAAGAAGGACCACGAGTGCGACCGGTTCGCGGCGCTCGTCGCCGACATGCTCGAGGACGCGCCCCTGACGCACTGTGTCGACGTTGGGTCCGGTCGAGTGCGTCCCACTGCCTGTCCTCCTCTGCCTCGCCCCAAGGCCCGAGAGTTGACGTCGTCCTCCCTCCCTCCCTCCCCCGACTCCAGGCCCACCTCTCGCGCGCCCTCGCCTGTCCACCGCTCGACCTGCACGTCCTCGCCATCGACTGGTCCGACTCGCAAAAGTCGGGCGCCGAGCGCCTCGACTCGATCCGGCTCCACGCCCAGCTCGCGCCCGCCAAGGGCAGCCTCACGCACGAGGTGAGCGCGCTCGACGCCGACGGCGTCGAGGCTGCGCTCAAGCGGTGGCCGCCGCCCGCTCCGGTCAACGACGACGACGACGACGCGCCCGAGACGCAGCCGGCGCTCCTCGTCGCGCTGCACGCGTGCGGCGACCTGACGCCCGCGGCGCTCACGGCTTTCGTGCGCGCGCACCGCGACGACGCGGCACGGCGCGCCGGCGCCCGCGCCGTCTTTGTCGGGTGCTGCTACAACATGCAGACACCGTCCCTGTTCCCGCTCTCGGCGCACGTGCGTTCGCTCGCCGGCCCGCCCACCGCCGCCGCCGCCGCCGCCGCCGCCGAGCGCATGTCGCGCGCGCACCTGCGCCTCACGCCGCAGAGCCCGCCGACGTGGCACCTCTCTGCGGCGTCGACGGCCGCGTTCCGCACCTCGACGCGCAAGCTCGCGTTCCGCGCCCGGTTCGAGGCCGAGCTCGAGGGAGCTCGGATCGGGACCAACGGCAAGCGCAGCGTCGGGCGCGTCGCCGAGTGCGCGACGTGGGGAGAGTACCGCGCGAGGGCGCTGCGCAAGGCCGAGGGTGGATTGAGCGAGGACGAGTGCCCCGAGGTGCCGTTCGGGAGCGGCGAGGGCGACGACGAGCGCGAGTGGGCCGCGGCCATGTTCTACCTGCGCGTCTTCTGGACGCTGCGGAGCTGGCTCGGCCCGCCACTCGAGACGCTGTGCGTCCTCGATCGGTTCGCGTACCTCGTCGAGGGCATGCGCGACGACGGCGGCGGGGCGATGGGCGCGTGGACGAGCGAGAGGCGGGTCGAGGTCGTCAACCTGTTTGACCAGGCGACGGGCAGCTTGCGCAACTTGGCGCTCGTCGTGCGGTGAACGTGCCGGGGATGAGCGGCGTCAGGGGTGGGCGGGTCGAGGCGAGGTGCGCGAGAAGCGGAGGACGGTCGAGCCTCTCTTGCTCGAGGAGGAGGAGGAGGAGCGAGAGGCGAGGTCTCGTTGCGCGAGTCGCTGTAGACGGGCGTGATTGCAAGAACTGTATCGCAGGGCAGTGCCCCTGTTCACACCGGTGCGCGTTGCGCGGTGCTCGCTCGTGGCGTCGGCTCGGGGCAGCTGCTGCGGTCGAGCCGACCTCATCTCCCGCTCCCCCCACCGAGCTCTCTCCACCGACCAGCGAGACTCGCCTGTGCCCTCACGCCAGCCAGCAACCGAACCCGAGCTCGCCCACAGCCAGCACAGCCCGTCGCCGGCCCCAGCTCGCCCCCCGTCGTCCCCCACAACTCGCCTCGTCGTCGCCCTCTCTCATCCTCTCTCGACAACCATGGGCCAGACCCTCTCCGAGCCCGTGCAGGACAAGCACACGCAGGAAGGTGCCGATGACCGGTGCGTCCCCCCTCGCTCTCTCGCGCCACTCCAGTGCGACCCGCCCGCGGTGGGACAGCACGCACGAGCTGGCCTCGGCGGCCGGTGTCGCTCGCCCTCGCGCCCTCTGCGGACCCGGGCAAGCACCGGGGTACTCGAGATCGGACTCACTGACCCTGTTGCACCCACCCTGTGCAGACTGGCGTGGGCCGTGAGCGAGATGCAGGGCTGGAGGCTCAGTGAGCACCGCCTTCCTTTCGACGTTTGCTCGCCCGATCCGGCTCGCTGGAGACGCTCGGGCGGGCTGCGGTGTCGCGCGGCGACCTCGACACACGTCAGACAGAGCTGACTCGAAGCCGGTGCGCTTGCGCCCGCGCCCCCGTGCAGCCATGGAGGACGCGCACGCGAGCGTCCTCTCGCTCGGCGACGAGACCGACGGCAAGAAGACGTCCTTCTTCGCGGTGTACGACGGCCATGGAGGTCCGTCCACGCTCTCTCTCTCGAGTGCTCTTGTTCCCTGCCGAGCCTTCACTGACCCGCACCTCGACCGCCCAGGCTCGACCGTCGCAAAGTTCGCCGGCGACACGGTCCACTCGCGCCTCGCCGCCAACGCCGCCTTCAAGCGCAAGGACTGGGAGGCGAGCTTGAAGCGGGCATACCTCGAGACGGACGAGGACCTGCGCGCAAGTGAGTCCAAGCCGTTCACGTTCCCCGTCGGCCTCTCGCGCGCGACGAGTCCGAGTGGGGCCGCACCTCGCCTCGCTCGCCTTTCACTGACCCTCTGCCGCCTCTCCGTCCTTCCCCTCTCCTCCATCGTCGTCGCCATCACGCAGACCCCGACTTCCGCGGCGACCCGTCAGGCTGCACCGCCGTGTCGGCCATCATCACGCCCGAGATGAACATCGTCTGCGTGCGTCCCCTCGCCCTCCTCCCTCTCTCGTTCTCCCTCTGCCTCGCGCGACGTCACTGACTCTCGCCCCACCACGCGTAGGCCAACGCCGGTGACTCGCGCGCCGTCATGTCGGTCGGCGGCGAGGCAAAACCGCTCTCGTTCGACCACAAGCCGACCAACCAGGGCGAGAACTCGCGCATTGTCGCCGCCGGTGGCTTTGTCGAGTTTGGGCGCGTCAACGGTGCGTCCGCTGCTTCACTCTCGGTGTCTCGGCAGGACGAGGTCGACGAGGAGGACGAGGACAAGGAGGACGAGGAACGGGACTGACTCGCTGCCCCCCTGCACAGGCAACCTCGCCCTGTCGCGAGCACTCGGCGACTTCGATTTCAAGCAGTCGCCGAACCTCGACGCCGAGCAGCAGGTCGTGACGGCCGACCCGGACATCACGGTGCACGACGCGACGCCCGAAGACGAGTTTGTCGTCATCGCGTGCGACGGCATCTGGGACGTCCTCACGTCGCAGCAGGTCATCGACTATGTGCGCCTGTCGATCTCGCAGGACAAGCCCCTGACGGCCATCTGCGAGGACCTCATGGACCGCTGCCTCGCGCCCGATTCCGACTGGGGCGGCGTCGGGTGCGACAACATGACCATGATGGTCGTCGCCCTCCTCGGCGACCGCACAAAGGACGAGTGGTACCAGTGGGTCAAGGAGCGCGTCGAGCGCGGCGAGCCGTACCAGACGCCCAAGGAGCTCGTCGAGCCGTTCGGCCAGGGCGGCAACGGGCCTCGGGGCGCCCTCATGGGCGGCTCGTCGTCGTCCAACGCGGCCGGCACGGCCGTTGACCGCGTCGACGCCGTGGCCCCGAGCGGGATCCTCGGCGGCGCCGTCAACATGAGCGCGCTCGGGCGCCTCGCCGGCGCCGGCGGTGCGGCGGGCGACGACGACAGCGAGGACGAGACCGAGCTCGACCTGCCGACAATCCAGGCCGCGCTGCGTGCGCGCATGGCCGAGCTCGAGCGGGAAGAGGCCATGGACGACGGCGAGGGCGGCGGCAGCGGCGACGACACCGCCATGATCGAGGACGTTGCCGACAAGGACGCGCAGGCGCCCAAGCAGGACGACGCAGCGGCCTCGGCGTCGGCGTCGGCGTCGGGCGAGACGGGCGACGACGCGAGCGAGGTCGAGCGCAAGTTGCGCACGAGCCACTCGAACTTAAAACCTTAGAGGCTATTTAAGTTGCTGATTTATATTAATTTTATTGTTCAAACATGAGAGCTTAGTACGTGAAACACACAGCCCCCTTGCGCTCTCTCTCCCCCTCGCCTTCTCTCGCTCTCCCCCGCATACCCATCCGACCTCGTCGTACCTGCCGTCCTTTCCACCTTTCTCTCTCTCTCTCGCTCTCGTCCCTCGCCCCTCGTCCCCCCCTTTCAGCTAGTCCTTTCTCCTCCCGACGTTTGTCCTCCTATCGCACGGCCTCTCGGCGACGTGCTGCAACCAACATGGCGTGTACAAGTACCCCGCTCTCCCTCGCAGCTCGTCGTTCCTCTCGAGGGAGAAAGAAAGTGAGAGAAAGGGCACGTGCAAGGCAAGCTGAATGAGAGCTACAGAGGCGGACAAACGGGCACTGATAGAAGACGCGAGTGAATGACGGAGAGAGAGGGAGAGGGGGGTAGAGAGAGGAGGGAAGAAAGAGAGGCTCAAGGCAGCGCGAACGCCTCGGGCATCATCTGCCGCATGTCCTTGACGCGTCGCTCGGCGTGCTTGCGCGCGCGCTCCTGCGCCTGCTCGTACGTCTCGCCTGGGTTGGCGCCGCCTTCGCCGGCATAGGGCGTGTACGGCTGCTCGTCGAACTCGGCGAGGAGCTCTTCGAGCGAGCCCGGGGCTGGCGTCGGCGGCGACGGCAGGGTCGAGTGGCTCGACCTCGACGACGACGCACCGCGAGACGACGACGACGCCGACGATGCCATGCTCGTGCTCCGTTTCGGCGAGCTCGCCGAGCGCGGCACGCCCGTCTCGGCGGGCACAAAGTCCTTGGCCGAGGGGATGATCTCGTTCCACCAGCCCTCGCCGCCGCCGCGGGCAATGCCGCCGGGAAGCGAGCGCAGGATCTCGCGCCCTCGCCGAATGCGCTCGAGGACGGCGCGGTTCTCGCTCTCGCGGCCCTCGTACACGCCGAGGCCGCCGAGCAGGTTCTTGAACGGGTCGATCTGCTCGAGCGCCTCCTGCGTCTTGCGCTCGAGGTACGACAGGGTGCGCGACAGGACGAGGAGCGGGAACGATGACAGGCGGCCGAGCTCGGCGAGGAGGACGCCTGCGGCCGAGAACGGCTCGGGCGGCGTCGGCGACAGGAGGGCGCGCACGGCGGCGAGGAACGGGATGGCGCGAGGGTACAGCGCCGAGCTGCTGCGCTCGAGCCACTCGGCGGCGTTCTCGGCCTTCCACGCGCGCTCGGACGCCGGCAGGTCGATGTTGAGGTCGCTGAGCGACAGGAGCTGCGGCGAGTTGGTCGCGGCGGCGTGCTCGAGGTCGACGAGGAAGATGATGAAGCAGACCCTGCGGGCGCGGCACGCTCAAGTCAGTTCTCGTGCCCCGAGCCAACGGACGGCACGAGAGAGAGAGAGAGAGTCGAGACGCACCGCCTGCGAGTCTCGATCTCGAGCCAAGCTCGCCAACACTTCTCGAGGACCTCGCCGTGCATGCCGGGCACGGGCCGGACCGGCAAGGCGCGGGCGACGAGGCCAGGCAGGTCGAGCGCGCGCAACATGTAGATCAGGGCCGAATGGAACGAGTGCGACAAGAGGCGCTCTGCAGGAGGAACGAGGACGTCAGTCCGGCGTACGAGAGTGGAGGGAACGGGCCGAGGACGCACGTTGCTCGTCGCGGTGGAAGAGGCCGAGGAGCTGGTACAGCAGGAGCGACTGCAGCGACGCGAACCGGTCCTCCCAGCTCTTCTCGTGCTCCTGGAAGCCTGCGTGCGTCGAAAAGAAGAGTCAGGCGTCGCTCAGGCGCTGAGGGGACACGAGAGTGAGGAAGATGGGACGGACCTCGAACGAGGAAGACGCGCTTCTCGACGAGCATCTCGTTGCTGAAGCTCTGGCCCTCGGGCTCGTACGCGCCGCCGGCGACGGTGAGCGCGAACGCCATGTGCGTCGGCAGCTCGTTCATGACGGCCGACGGGCCGTGCAGGATCGGGACGGCCGCCAAGAGCTCCTCGGTCGCCTTGCGAGCGTAGCCCGACAGGACGGGCAGGGGCGGCACGTGCCACGGGTACAGGTCTGCGGGGCGAGCGAGAGGTCAGTGGGTGGTGCTCGGGGGAGAGACGGAGAGACGAGAGGAGAAGCGAGGACGCACAGCCGAGGCAGAACTTCTGTTCGGGGAGCCACCAGCGCTGCATGTCGGGCTCGACGTGGACGGGCTTGGGATTGATGAGCCAGTCGGGGAAGATGGACGGCTCGGTCGGGAACCCGAGATCGAGCGCCGTGATGCCGCCGACGCCGCCCTTGTTGAAGTACTCGGCGAGCTGTTGCGCCGCCGGCGTCTCCTCGAGCTTGTTCGACACGGGCCCGGCGGCGTACCCGCCGTACGCGCCGACCGTCCCGCCGACACCGCCGCCGTAGCTGAACGGCGCGAACGCCCAGTCGCTGTTGGACGTGTCGACGAGCGCGACGGCCTCGTTCGACGCGGCCGCCTCGGGCCGCTCGTCGGCGCGCTGCGCCGCTTTGGCGCCGTGCCACGGGTAGCCCGGGCTCGCCGGCGTCGACGTCGGTGCGCCGAACGGTGTGCGCATGAGGTCCTGCAGGACCTCGGACGCGAGCACCTCGTCCTTGGTGAAGCTGCCCGTGCGCGACAGGCCCGGCGCGAGTGTGTCGTGCTGCGCGACGCCCTCCTTGAACGCCGACGTCGGCTGGAGGTAACCCGGGTACTGCCCGGCGGAGGAGCCGGCGGCGGCGAGGACGGGCATGGCCGGCAGCGCGGTCGGCGGTGCGCCGGGCGGCGGCGGCGCTCGGGCCGCTTCTTGCGCACGAGGTTGCGCGGCCGCAGTCGCCACAGCGACGCGATCCATGACGCTCAGGGCAGGCGGGCTGGGGAGCTGGGCGTTGTTGACGTCGGGCGTCGTGGCGGTGGTCGAGGCGGTCGTCGGGACCGAGTAGGGCGACGCGGACGACGGGGTGTGCGAGTCGGAGATGGTCGACGGCGTAGGGTAGTATGCGCGGTGGGGGACGTAGAGCGGCGGGGGTTGGGGTGCGGAAGGGTACTGCGGCACGTTGGCGTTGGTGTGATGGTCGAGGAAGCGAGCAGGCGGAACGGGGAGGGCGGGCTCCTCCTGCTGCTGCGGCGGCGGCGCCTGGTTGTACCACGAGTAGCTCGCCCGTCTCGTGAACGCCTCGTTCGACGGCGGAGGAGGCAAATCGAGCGACATGGCCGACGTCGAGGCGACAGGCGGCGACTCGACGGCGGGCGACCCAGTCGACGAGCCGGCGGTGGCCTCGCCCTCGCCCCTCGCCGCCTTGGCCTGGGCGCACGTCTTGTAGTGTCGCCGCAGAAGGTCGCTGCGGGTGTCGGGCAAGAGCGGCGTCAGTGTCCTGCAACTGGCGGCTTGTGACGAGCGAAAGTACGAGCGGAGCGACGGACCTGCGACTGAACGCGTGCCCGCAGTGCTCGCACTGGAACGGCTTCTCCCTGCTGTGCTTCGAGCGGTGGTGGCGAGCCATGTACTGCGCGGCGCGAGGCCGGGCGAGGCAAGGTCAGCTTGCGGCCCTTCGACGACTCGCACGAGGGGACTGGGGGGAGGCGCGGCGACATGGCGAGGGAGAGGCTCACCTCCTTGCGCGAAAAGGTCTTGTCGCAGTCAGGGCAGGGAAACACCTGCCCGGATGCACTGCCTCGCACCGCTGGCGGCATGATGGTCGGTTGCGTTGACGACGAGAAGGGCGCGGCGAGTTGGCGGCGACGACGACGCGTACGGGTGATGGCGAGGCGGGCGAGGTTGCGCAGGTGACGCTCCTGGTCGATGAGAGCTAGCTGTGGCGCTGCTGAGCGCGTCTGGGTGCAGCGAGTGCGAGGGAGCCGGTGAGGTCGCGAAGCAAGTGGAGCGAGTGGAGGTGCGAATCGTCTGCCGATCCGACCACGGTCCACCTGCGAGCTGGACGTTCTCGCGGTTGCACAGCAGCTCTCTGGCTCTCTCGGCCAGTCGAGGGCACGAACACGCTCACCAAGATGTAGCAGCCCGCCCGCGAGCTCTACTCGCCGCCCTGCTCGAGCCACGCCGCGTACTTCTCCAGCCGCTCCTCCTCCTTCTTGGCCGCCGCGTCGTCCTCGTCCTCGTCGCCGAGCCCCGTCCCGCGCAGGTCGACCCCCTGCCCACTCTTCTTGTACCGCTGCGAGCCGTCCATCGGGAACGCCGCGACCGTGCGCCCGCCAAAGAAGCGGCCGTTCATTTTCTGCGAGGAGGACGAAGGGGTCAGTTGAGCGGAACGTCAGCGCCGCCGAGGTGACGAGGACGAGTCGAGAGGGGAAGAGGGTGGGGACGCACGGCGATGCAGGCTTGCGCGGCGAGCTCGTCCTTGAAGCGGACCGTCATGACGCCCTTCTCCTCCTTCTGCGAGCGCGAGGAGGGCAAGACGCAACGAGTCAGTGCTCATGAGCGCCATGGACTCGCCGAGAGAGACAGGGAGAGGCAAGGGGACGCACGTCGTACAGCGTCACGTTGGTGACCTCGCCGATCGTCTCGCACTCCTCGCGCACGTCCTCCTTGAGGTCGAGCAGCAAGGTCGCGTCCTCCTCGAGCTCCTTGAGCGTGAACATGCCCTCAAGGACGACGACGCCGCGGTACTTGCGCGCCCGTGCGGCCGCCTCGGCCGGGTCCTCATCGTCGTCCGACCAGTCGCCGAGTTTCCTGCGCGCGAACGAGGACGAGCGTCAGACGGAGGCCTTGTGTCGCCCTCAGGGAGAGACAGGGAGAGGAACGAGGGGGGACTCACTGCCGCAATGCCGCCGCCTTCTTGCCCTGTCGCGCCTTCTGCTGGTCCGGCTTGCCCTTGCCCGCGCTCGTCCCCTCGCCCTGGCCCGGCCCATCCTCCTTGCCCTTGTCCGCCTTCTTGTTGTCCCACTGCGCCTCCTTGACGCTGATCAGGCCCTCGCCGCTGCCGAGGACGAGCTCGGTCTCGTCAAAGAGCCGGCACGCGAGCGCGACGCTCGCCTCCTGCAGGTACACGATGAGCGCCTCGCCCTTGAACGCGCCGTGCTCGTCCTTGTACAGCTTGACCTTGGGCTCGCCGTTGACGTCCTCGAGGATGAGGCCCGCCTTGCTGAACGTGTCGACGAGCTGAGAGGCCGTCGTCGACTTGGGGAGCGACGAGACAAAGATGGCCGTGTTGCCGCGCGCCTTCTTGTTCTTGCCATCGGCGCCGTCGGCCGCCTTGCGCTTCTTGCTCTTCTTGTCCTCCTTGAGCGCGACGGGAGCCTGTAGGAGGTATAAGAGAGGGGAGCGTCAGAGGGGCGCCGAGACGAGGCGACCGGGAAGCACCACGAGGCCAGGAAGCGGGACGCACCTCCTCGTCGACTCCTGCTACCGAATATGCCGCCTGCTGCTGCTTGACGACCTCGTCGGTGAGCTGTGGCGGTGATGAGAGTTGAGGAGAGATGAGGGCGGGGAAGAGGGGAGAAGGCAAGGGTCAGTTCGCTTCCCTGTGGCTGATGGAGGACGGCAGGGGCACAAGGACGCACCGCAGGCATCCACGCGTTGCGACCCTGGTCCCACTCGAGCTCGTTGCCGTTGGCGTCCTCGCACATCCACTTGCCCTCGGTGCGGTCGAAGTAGGGCTCGGGCGCGGCGGCTGCGGCGGCTGCGGCTGCGGCAGGCGCACCGGCGGTATTGGATGAAGAGGGTGCTGGGGCGGACATGCTCGCAGCGAAGGCGAGAGGTTGAGCGAAAGTGGGGAGGAAGCGAACGAGTCCTCGGAGGAGGAGGGGGAGACAGCTCTCTCGGTGCACGAAAGCTCTCGCTTGAAGGGCAGACGACTGAGACGAACGGAAAATGTACGGCTGTGCGCTTCTACTCCTTTTGACACTCCTCGCGTTCGGGTGCGCCGTCCTCCCACGCCGGCCGACTCGACACCCACTCGCCGACGGCTCGTTCTCGCTCGAGACGGTTACTCGTCCGAGTCCTTCTTGGCCTCCTCCTCCTTCGACTCGGCAATGGCCGACGAGATTTTCTCCTGCACGAGGGGAGCGATGGTAGAAGAGAGGAGGGATGGGCAGGGCGGGAAGGCAAGAGTCAGTTGGCGGGTTTGAGAGACGCGCTCGCGCGAGCGTGCGAGAGAGAGAAGAAGCGGACGCACCTGCTTGCCGGGCTGGCTCTCCTTCGCAGCAGCCTTGGCCTCGGGCGTAGCCTCGAGCTTCTCGTCGTCGGTCGCAGCGTTGGCCGGCGTCGGGGCGTCCTCCGTGTCGACCTTCTTGCCCTCGGCGACGCTCTCCTCGTCCTTGCCCTCCTGCTCCGGCTGCGCCTCGGCCGCATCGCTGTGGCTCTCCTCCTCGGCCTGGTTGGCCTCGGCGGCCGCGGCGTGGCTCGGGCTCGGCTCCTTGTCGGCCGCGTCCTCGGACTCGGTCGCCTTGCGCGACGCCGGCACGTCGTGGTGCTTGTCCGGGTGCGCCGGCGACGTCGCGTGCTTCATCATCTCGGGCGGCGACGTGAGGCTGATGAACAAGGGGACAAAGACGAGCGCCGAGCCGACGATCCAAGGCAGGTCCGACTGTTCGGCGAGGGAGCAAACGGGTCAGCAAGGTTCGCCTGGGGACGCCCTCCCGTGACGAGTGAATGTGAGGACGCGCCTTGGCCGGGGCGACGCCGGTGTGGTGGTTGTGCGCCATGCCGCGGGTCTGGCGAGCGGTCTGCTGGCGAACCTGGCGGCAGGTCGTGCGGAGGGCGGAGCGGGCGAACATGGCGACTGAGAGGTGCAGAGGGCTGGTACTGATAGAGAGAAGGACTGCAGGTGGCCACAGGTGGGCGGCAGGACGAGGGAGGGGACGGAAAGAGAGCGTCAGAGATGGGAAGGAGGAGAAAGACGGGACGACCTCGGCGGGTCGCCAGACGGCGCGGGCAGCGCCGAGCCTCGGCTCAGGCGCAGCCGAGAGGTATTCGCAGGCGGAGCGGGACTCACACGATGCGCGGCACGAGGTGTGCGGGCAGGGAGGAGACAACGGGCGGGGCTCGTCGCTCTTCCTCTCGCTCGCTCGCCGACGTCGAGCCGAACGCGGTTTCGTCGTCTCTCTCGCTTGCCGCTTTTGGGCGCTCGTCTAGAGCGTGCTGAACTATCCTCGCTCGTATCTGTGCCGCTCGACAGCGAACGGGAGAGTGACAGCGCACGGTCATTTTTCTGCGGCGGTCCGCCTGGACCCCTCGTCCGGCACGACACGGCGCTACCGGTCCTTGGCCCTCGCGCTCGCCGCACCCGGCACACCCGACCGTCCCACCGCTCCCGTCCCGTCGCCCTCGCCGAACCCGCCGACGCCGCCGAGCGCCCACGCCTCCTGGAGGAGCCGCTTGCCCGCCCACAGCCACGCAAGGCCAAACACGCCCGCCGAGAGCGAGAGGTTGACGACCGGGTACAGGTCGGGGAGGTGGGCTGGGGGCGGGGCGAGCGCCTCGAGCGAATGGACGGCGAGGATGAGGGCGTAGGTCGTCTGCGCGAGAAGCGTCGAGAGCGGGTCAGTCGGGGCTCGACTCGAGGCGCGAGGCCGGCAAAGGTGGGAGGCCGAGAGAGGGAGACGCACACAGGAGAGGTACTTGACGAACGAGGCGCGCAGCTTGAGCGGGTTGTAACCGATCGCGTAGTTCCACAGGGCGGTCAAAGCGAGGTACTGCGTCACGACGCCGTCGCGCTGCAGGAGGGGCCACATGCTGCGTGTGCGACCGAGATGTCAGTTGATGTGCTGCGCAATGCGAGACCCGGACCGAGAGGGCGAGAGAGCGAGAGAGGCTGGACGCACCTGAAGACGGCGACGTTGTTGACGAGCGCGCCCCACTCCCAGTCCATGCGGCCATACCCGACCTCGCGCGCGCCCATGAGGAGCGTGAGGGGCATAAGGGGCAAGAGTATGCTCTTCTCGTGCACCTGGAAGCTCAGGAGGAAGAAGGCCATGGCCGACAGGAAGAGCGCGTGCGGCACGAGGACGATCGTCGGCGCCGCCGCCCCGCCCACCGCCGCCGAGCCCGAGGCGCGCTCCCGGCCGAGACGGTACGAGACCCACAGGACGGCGCCGACGCTCGGGACGAGGGCCGTGCCCGTTGCGACGAGGGCGAGCTTGGCGAGCGTCGACGTCGGGACGAGGTCGCGCAGCTTGACGACGACGTTGAGCGCGCACCACACGTTGGCGACCTTGTCCTCGAACAGGCCACGCGCAAAGGGGAAGATGCGGTGCAGGGCCTGGCCGAACGTTGACAGCGAGGTGAGGAAGGGCGCAAAGAGGGCAAGGAAGGTGGCCGTGACGGCGAGGGCGAGGTTGATGAAGAGCGACGTGCTGCTCGGGATTCAAAGGTCAGTTCCGCGAACGCTGAGCGGTGCGAGCGAGTGTGCTCACCCTTCTCGGCCGCCGAGCCAGAAGCACTTGCCGAGCAAGTAGGCGAACCTGCACGTCGCGAAGGAGCTCGTCAGGTCTCATCCTCCGTGAACGCCACGCGAGAGAGAGAGAGGCAGGGACGCACACTGCCGGGGCGTAGTACAGGGCCATCTGCTTGAACCCGAGGCTGAGCATGAAGAGGACGCCGCCGAGAACGTCTCGCCCTGCCTGGAAGCAGTTGACGGACCACAGCGTCAGGCCGAGCATGATCGAGTTGTACCTGCGCGCGGTCGGAGACCCGGGTCAGTCCGAGTGAGGCGACGAGAGCCTGGATGCGCGCGAGACAGGGGCGCACTGGAAGTGACCGCTGTCGATGAGGATGAGGGCCGGCTGGAGGAGGACGGTCATGAGGGCGACGAGCTGCGGGCGCGTCAAGCAGGCGTCAGTGACTGAGCCCGTGCGACCCGGTTCGACCGCCCGCGACAGGAAAGGGGCGAGGGGGGACGCACCATCCTGCGCTGCGACTTGTCGGCCTTTGTCGACGCGCGAAAGTTCCTCGCGCAGTACACTGCGACGGCGCTGACCCACACGAGTGCGTCTCCTGCGACGACCGTGGCGCGCATCCAGTTCTTCATGGCGCCGTCGCGCTCGAGGGCGGCCATGTGGGCGTCCCACGCGGCGACCTCGCGCGACGAGGTCGTCGCCGAGTCGGGGCGGAGCGTGACGAACTGGGCCGTCGACGGGTGGAGGCGCGCGACGAGGCCGAGGAGGAGCGAGTGGTACGCGGTCAGGGGCGGGTAGTCGAGGCCCCAGTAGGCGAGGTCGTGGTAGTACCAGCGCGAGGGCGGGATCGACGCCGAGGACGAGGGCGCGGATGGGGCGTGCAGGAAAGGGAGGTGCGACAGTGACGACGACGTGAGGGCGATCCAGTGTCGCTGCGCCTCAAAGTCGCCGCGTAAAGGTGGTTGCGCGAGGCCTGCGGGCGGGAAGAGCCTGGTGAGGGAGAGTGCGAGAGAGGGAGAGGGGCGAGCGCGAGGGACGCACCCGAGTAGCCGCCGAGGCCCGTGCACCACTTGACCAAGACGACGACGGCGACGCACACGACGACGCTGTACCGCGCAAGCGCCGGCTGCTCGACGAGCCACCTCGCTGCCCTGCGCAGCGGCGAGTCGGTCGCGTCGGCCGCCCTCGCCGCGTCATGGCGGTTCTGCGCCTGCTCGGCGTCGCGCTCGCGCTGCGCCCGCCGCGCCGCCTTGCGCGCCGCGCGTCGCTCGCGGTCCTCGCGCGTCGGGAGCGCCGAGAGGACCGACAGGCCCGACTCGCTCGCCGAGTCCCACGCCGTCGGGGCGCCCTGCGGGTGGTGGTGCGGGTGGCGCGAGCGCGAGTCGTGCGAGTGGTGCGACGCGAGGGACGACTTGCGCGCGCGCAGGTGGAGGAGGTCGCGGGCGTCGGCGGCGGTGGAGCCCGCGGCGTTCCACTCTGTCGGGGTCGGGAAGCGCTGGAAGGCGTGCGGGTGGTCGCGCCGGCGCGAGGCGGTCGAGCCGGCGTACGAGGTCATGGCGCGTGGGCGGGTCGGCAAATCGAGGGTCGAAGCCGGCAGCCGGGCGGGAGAGGTGGGGAGGAGGAGGGAGACGAGGACGGCGAGGCGCTCGGCGAGTTGGTCGTCGGCGTGGCTGGTCTTGAGGCTGATGCTGCAGTAGCTAGGTAGCTGCTGTGCTCGAGCAGCACGGCGAGGGCGGGAGCTGAGGTCGACCCTCGGTGGTGCTTCGTCGTCGCTCGCCCTCGAGGCTCCTCGTCCTCCTCCTTCCCCCCGGCTCGCCTCTCGACCCGGCCCCGAGGCGAACAGCGTGCGTGGCTAGACTCGCGGCTAGACGACCCAGTCCGACCCACCGAGCCGCCCCGTCTCTCCCCCGCGCGCCCTCTCCCTCGCCTCGCTCCCCCGACGTCCTCCGCACCACCACCACCCTCGCCTCGTTCGCTCGCCCTCGCTCTCCCTCCCGCGCCCCGCCTGGCCCACGACGCGGCCATGCGGATCACCATCGTCGACCGCGACCCCAAAGGCGACAAGTTCAAGGGCGCAGTGTGGTACCGCGGCGCGGAATCCATGCTCGCCGGTGCCGGCGCCGGCCTCGTGTCGAGCATCGTCACCTGCCCGCTCGACGTCGTCAAGACCAAGCTCCAGGCCGGTGGCGCGAGCGGTGGATCCGGTGGTGTCCTCGGTGAGTCCACTCTCTCCCCCCCCCCCCCCCCCCCCTGCGTGCATGCTCGCCGCCGCCGCGAGTCGAACCTCGTCCGCCCTTTTTCCCCTCGTCGCCTCTCTCTCTCCTCTTCATAACTCTCGGCGGCTGCTCTCGCACGATCAAACGCTGATCATGTCGCCTCGTCCCGCCCTCGCCCTCGACCACGACCACCTCGACCGCGCTGCTTCGCAGGCATCACCAAGCACATCTGGCTCAACGACGGCTTTCGAGGGCTGTACCGCGGCCTAGGGCCCACCGTCATCGGCTACCTCCCGACCTGGGCCATCTACTTCACCGTCTACGACCAGGTCAAGGGCCGTCTCTCCGAGATTCGAGGTGCGTCCCCGCCGAACCTTTTCCCCCTCCCCCGTCTCCTTCTCCTTCTTCTTCTCCCTCGAGGGCTCAAGGGCGAGCCTCGACATGCGCCGCACGCCACGACGGGACTTGATGAATACCCAATACATCATGTATCCTTAGACCTCTGACGAACCTTCCGTCTCGGCGGATGAACGTGAACACGACAAACCTGCCGAAAGGCGCGTCTGATCCCGTCACGCGGCGGCGCACATGCACTCGAGCGAGGAGGACGAGGACGGAGCAGCACGGCCCCCGACGATGATCGAGACGCAGTCACTGACTCTTTTCTCATCGCCCTCCCCTCCCTCGTCCTCGTCCGCTCGTGCACACGACCACAGGTCCCGACGACCCGATCGCCCACATCATCTCGGCCATGACGGCCGGCGCGTCGGGCACGATCGCGACCAACCCGCTGTGGGTCATCAAGACGCGCTTCATGACGCAGCAGGTGACGGCCGGCGAGAAGCGGTACCGCCACACGTGGGACGCGTTTGCGCGCATCTACCGCGAGGAAGGGTTCCGCGCCTTCTACCGCGGCATGCTCCCGAGCTTGTTCGGCGTCGTCCACGTCGCCGTCCAGTTCCCGCTGTACGAGCAGTTCAAGGTCATGTCTCGTGCGTCCTCCTCCCTCTCCCTCTCTCTCTCTCCATCGCCCGACTCGTTCCCTGACTCTCCGTCGTCCCGCCCTCTCGCAGGACCAGCCGACGGCTCGGACATCCCCTCGTCGACCATCCTCGTGTGCTCGAGCGGCAGCAAGATGATCGCCTCGATCGCCACCTACCCGCACGAGGTCCTCCGCACGCGCCTCCAGATCCAGAAGCAGCAGCGCGCCAAAGCCTCCTCGTCGTCGGGTGCGAGTTCGACCCCGAGCGGCCCGGCGTTCGAGGGCGTCGTCAAGACGTACCACCGCATCCTGCGCGAAGAGGGCGTCGCAGGGTTCTACCGCGGCCTCGGCGTCAACTTGCTCCGCACCGTGCCCGCGTCGGCCCTCACGATCCTCACGTACGAGCTCATCTTCCGCCACCTGCACCGCATTGGCGAGCAGGCCGAGCAGGAGGCCGAGAAGGCGTACGCCGACAAGAAGAGGCGACGAGGCGACGAGTAGAGCCCTGCGTCCTCGCGTCGTCTAGATCTCTTTCTCTTGCTTTCTCTCTCGCCTCTTGTCTATACGCCCGCCTCGCACGCCGCCGGCCCACTCGATACCCCTCGTCGCCCGTCGTCTGTGTAGACGTGCCCCTCCTTCCACCTTGTTGTCCTAACACGTCGTTTTCGCACCGCATTCTCTCGTCTTGTCCGTCCGTATCGAGAGCGAAGACTCGAGACGAAAGCAGCCCCAGCGAGAGAGGGAACTTGGCGAGAAGCTGCCGCTCAGGCCTCGGCCAAAGTTGCTCTCCTCGCTTTCCGGCTGCTCGCTCTCCAAACTCGGGCGAGAGACCAGCCGTGGTTGCACCGCTCTCTGCTCTATCCAAACCGGATCCCCTGCGTCGGGTCCCACGCCCGGACCGCGGGCTCCTCCACCTCCTGCTCCTGCTCCTGCTCCTCCTCGACGGGCGCCGCCACCACCTTCTTCTTGCGCAGCGGCGTCTTGGCCGGGCGTGCAACGAGCGTCTGCGCGACCTCGTCGTCCGAGTCGGCGACGTCGACGACGGCGCGCGGCTGCTGCTGCTGCTGCCGAGTCGTGCGAGGAGCGCGCTCAGGCTCGGGCTCGGGCGCAGGCTCAGGCGCGGGCTCGGCGGCGGCGTGCGCCGTGCGGCGCGTCGAGCGCCTCGGCGTCGGAGCGTCGGGCGCAGGAGCGGGAGCTGGAGCTGGCGGGGCGCGGGCGGCGGGCGCGCGGCGGCGAGGGGTGCTGTGCTCGGGGGACAGGGCCGGTGCGGGTGCGGGCGAGGGGGCAGGCGAGGGCTGAGGGGGAGGTGCCGAGAGCGCTCGAGCGAGGTCTTGAGCTTCGGCGGTGCGCGCGTAGTCGAACTGCGAGGGCATGTCAGGTCGGCAAGGGTGCTTAAGCTTCTCGCAAAGGAGAGAGAGAGAGAGAGAGTCCGGGACGCACCGACTTGCACGCGTCCCTCAGCTCGCCGAGGAGCTTGCTCAGGTCGGCGTAGAAGCGTAAGCCCTCCTGCAGGTTCTGCAGCATCTCGAGGAACTTGTCGCCCGCCGAGGCGTAGTGCGCCGTCGCGCGTTCGCGAGCTTGTTGAGCCGAGGATGGGGCGGCCGAGGCGGAGCGGAGCGCCGAGTGCTGCGCCTGCAGGGAGGAGGGCGATGTCAGGCTCCGATCTCGAGGCTGAACGCTCGGTCATCGAAAGGGAGAGGAAAGACGGGCGCACCTTGATCTCGCCGAGCAGGTCCTCCTGCCGCGCATCGCTGCGCCGCATCTCCTCGTCCCACACCCGCATGAGCGCTTCGCCCTCGCGCTCGAGCAGCTCCTCGTACGCCGCTGGCCCGGCGCCTTCGACCTGGCCCCCCTCAGACCCCGCCGCGCGCCGCTCAGCCTCGCGCAAGACCTTGTCCCGGATGTCGCCCTGCGCGACGCTCGTCCTCGCCGCCTCGACGACCCTCGCCCTCGCACTGCGCACGTCGGCGAGCTGGTCGAGCAGCGCGCTGAGGGCACGCCGCGCCGCCCGCTGCGCCTCGGGCACCTCGCCCGCCGGCGACGCTCCCGACGACGGAATCTCGCGCGCGAGCGCGGCTTGGCCGCCCTCGAGGACGCGCAGGGCACGCTCCCACTCGCCGAACTTGGCGCGCACGACGGCGTCGCTCTCGGCCGCCGACGACAGGACGGCGCCGAGCTGCTGGGCGCGCTCGCGGAGCGGGGCGGCAGCCGCCGACGAGGTTGGGCGGGTCCAGCGGAGCGAGCCGTGCCCTTGGCGGTGCGCGTCGTCGCTCGCTGCCTCGCGGTCGAGCGAAGCGGTCGCCTGCAGGGTGCAAGGACCCGTCAGGACAGGGCACGACGGGCAAAAGGAGAAGGGGGGTGGGACTCACCTCCTGGAGCATGCGCATGTTGACGTCGGCGACGCGCCGCACGTCCTTCATCATCGTCTCGAGGCGCTCAACGCCGCCCTCGGCCTGGACACGCGTGGCCGCATCGAGGACGGCGGCCGGGACGCCGAGCGGTTGCTGCGACACCTGGAGCGAGGCGGGCAGGTTGAGCTCCTTGAGCAGACTGTGGCGCATCGCAAGAGTCAGTCAGTCGCTCAGGGAGGATGTCCGAGGTTCGAGAATGAGTGGGAGAGAGAGGGAGCGCACGAAGAAGCCGTCGCGTCGAGGTCCTTGGCCGGGCCCGCCACCTTGTCGTCGAGCCAGCCGCGCTTGCGGTCCTCCCACAGGTCGAGCACCTCGGCGACCTCGCGCGGAACGAGGGCCGCGAAGAGCGGGTTGCGCAGGTGCGCGAGCGGGTCGGCGAGCTCGGGGGCGAGGGTCGGGCGTGCGAGGGCGGCGGGAGCGATGACGGGAAGGGATGAGGGAGGGGTGGGCGTCGCGAGGTAGATGAGGTCGTTGTCCCTGCAAGGGGGTCGCCGAGTGGGTCAGGGATGGGCGGATCGGGCGTCGCGCGTGCGTCGAGAGGGAGAGGGCTCACTTGGTCGCACGCGCCAGGTTCTCGGCGACCGTCTTCTGCAGGCTCTGGGTCCGTGCGCCGTCTCGTCAGGGCGCGGTTCTCGGCGGCGGTCGATATAGAGAAGGAGGAGGACCCGTCCGACGCACCTTGAGGTCGTGCATGACGGCGTCGGGCACGCCGCGCTTGCCGAGGAGCGCCACCTCCTTGAGCTTGACGTCGGCGAGCTGCAGCCGGCCGAGCTCGTCGCCGTACCGGTTGGCGCCGAGGTCGTCGAGCGAGCGGCGGTAGTGCGCGACGGCGGTAAAGTGGGCATGCTTGACGGCGAGGTAGCGCATGATGTCCTGCGCGCGGGAGGAAAGGCTGGGTCAGGGTCGGGACGTCCTGACCTGCGAGGAGGCGAGGCGTGAGCGCACCTCGGGGAACGCGAAAGGCTGTGCGTTGTCGGACCCTGCACGGGCGAGCTCGGCTGCATCGCGCGCCGCGGCGTACAGCTCTGCGACCCGCATGGCGACCTTGGCGACCGTGCCGTTCTTGAGGCGGTCTGCAACGGAGCTCACGAGGGTCAGGGCACGCTCAAGCGCGGCAGGAAACGGAGAGACGAGGACGCACCCATGACGGCCTTCTGCCACGCGACCTCCTGTGCCTGCGCGAGGCACCAGTCCCGGAGCGCCGACAGGTTGGGCGCCGACAGGTCTGCGGGCGCGGGCCCGCCGTGGAGCGAGGCCGTGAGGCGCGGAACGAGCGTGACGAGATGCGCGAGGACGCCGGCGGCGTTCTGTGTGCGCGGCAGTGGGAGCGAGGTCAGTGAGGGTGAGAGTGAGGGAGGGAGGTAAGGACGAGCAAGAGGGACGCACCTGGTACGACGCGATGGCGGCCTTGATCCCCTGCTCGTCGCTGCGCCTGCGCTCGGTGCCGAGAATGGCATGGAGCGCCGCGAGGTTGTACAGGACGGCTGCGCGCTCGTACTCGAGGTTGTCGAGCGCGAGCGGCGGCGAGAGGGCTGGGAAGGCGCCCGTCGCGCCGGCGGACGGGAGCGAGGTCGGCGCCGTGAAGAGCGGGTACCACGGGAAGGTGACCGAGGTCTGCGCGCAGGGAAAGAACGTCAGGGAAGGAATGTGGCTCTCGGGAGAGAGGGGAGGGAGAACGCACCTCGACCGGGAGCTTGGTGAGGACGAACGTGAGCTGGCCGTAGTACCTGCGGTCGGCGGTCAAGGGTCAGTTCGTGCGCCTGGAGGAGGTGAAAGAATGCGCGACGCACTCTTGCAGGAGCGGAACGGTGGCCTGGTTGACGAGGGCGAGTCCCGACGAGCCAAAGATGCGCTGGCGCAGGTCTTGCCAGGTGCGGGCGTCGTGGCGGACGGCGTCCGGGTGGGTCGTGTCGCTCGAGTGGGTGACGTGCTGGAGGATGTCGTCGGCGAGGGACGGCAGCTGTGGTGCGAGGCGAGGTGAGCGGGGAGGAGGAGGAGTGGGGGAGGAGGGAGGAGGAGAGCGGGGCGCACTGGATCGGTGGCCTTGAGGGGCAGAGGCAGCAGGTTGGTCGGAGCACTCATGGCTGTGCTCTGGAACACCGAGCAGCTCGGGCGAGGAGAGCGAAGGACCGGCACCGCCTCATCGCGTTCTCCCCCTCTCCCCTCTCTCCTCCACACCCACCATGGCCAGTGAGCTCTTCGGTGCCGCCTCCGCATAGCGAGACCTCCACTGACAGCGACACACCCTGCCACAGCCGACCAGGACAAACTCGCCCAGTTCGCCTCCATCACCGGAGCCAACCTCAACCAGGCCTCGTTCTTCCTCGACTCGGCTGGGGGCAACGTCGAGGTGCGCACCACTCGTCCTCTCACCCGCGTTCCACCACACTGACCCAGCTCCTCGCGCGACAGGCCGCCGTCGCCGCCTTCTTCGACAACCCCCAGGGGAATGACGACGCTGCCGCCGCCGCAGCGGCTCAGGGCGGTGCCCCTCCCGCCCTCGCCAGCCCTGCACCCGTCCGCGCGGCTCAGCCTGCGCCCACCGCCGCCGCCGCCGCCGCCGCCTCGTCCAACCCGCGCGGCGCCTACACCCTGAGCGGCGCGCCCGTCGAGGGCCTCCCCGCCGGCTGGGGCGGCACCCGCTCCTCGAGCGCGTGCGTCCCTCTCCTCTCCTCCTCTCTGGCTCCAGGAGAACCCTTCCTGACGCTCAAGCCCCCACGTGCGCCCCACAGCTCGACCTCGCGCTCGGCGACCCCGTCCAACCCGATGCGCTCCAACCAGGCGCCGCGCGTCACGGGCCTCCGCGACCTCAACTCGGCGGCGGCCGGCGCGGGACCGTCTGCTGGTGGCTCGGGCGGCGGGTTCGGCGGCTTTGGCGGGCGCGCGATGGGCGGCGACGACGACAGCGACGACGAGGACGAGTCGAGGGACCCTGCCACCTTCTTTACCGGCGGCGCAAAGAGGTGCGCCCCCTCTCGTCGGCGCTCGTTAGCCGCACAGGGCACTGACGCTATTACGCACGCAGTGGGCTGTCGGTCGAGAACCCGGACGACCGGCGTGGCGCCGGCGGCATGTCCGACATGGTGCGCCAGATCCTCAACCAGGCTCGCCAGTGCGTCTCTATCGCCTCCATGTGTCTCGCTCCTCGTCCCCTTACCTCGAACTGACTCGTCACTGCGTGCAGGGGCTCGCGTCGCCTTGCTGGCGGCGAGGACGAGCCGGCGCAGGCGGCATCGGGCTCGAGGTTCTTTGGCGGCAACGGTTCGTCCTGCCTCTCGCCTGCTCCTGCGCGTTTCGACGCACGCCGACTCACAATCGTTCCCGCCCCTGCAGCGCACACGCTCGGCTCGGACGAGACGCCGTCGACCTACATCCCCGACCCGACCGCCCCGGAGGCCGGCGCAGAGCAAGACGACGAGGAGGAGGAGGACGAGGTCGCGGTCCGCCACCTCACGTTCTGGCAGGATGGCTTTTCGATCGAGGACGGCGACCTGATGGACTATGACGAGCACCGCGAGCTCCTCGCCGCCATCCAGTCCGGGTCCGTCCCTCCCTCCCTCTCTCTCCTCGCGCTCCCGTCGTGCTCCCAGCCTGACTGACCCTCCCTCTTGCTTCGAGAAACAGCCGCGCGCCGCTCAGCCTCCTCAAGGTCAAGCACGACCAGCAGGTCGAGCTGCGCATCGCCGAGCGCCGCGGCGAGAAGTACGTCCGCCAGCCCCCGCCGCCCCAGGGCCCGTTCGCCGGCTCGGGCAACCGCCTCGGCAGCGAGGCGCCCGCTTTCGCCACGACCTCGTCCTCGTCGGGCGCCATGCCCGGCTCGCTCCCGACCGCGACCGCGACCAGTGCGCCGAGCGTGACGCCGTCCGAGGTCAAGTTCGAGGTCGACCGCTCGCAGCCGACGACGCAGCTCCAGATCCGCCTTCGCAACGGCGACCGGTGCGTCCCCCCTTTCCCTCTTCTGCTTCTCTCTTTTGCGCGACGCCATCCTGACGGTCTCGAGGCGCACGCAGCATGGTCGCGACGTTCAACCAGTCGCACACGGTCGGCGACATCCGCAGCTACATCAACGCGTGCGTCCTCTCGTCTCCCTCTCTCTCTCCCCTCTCGCCGGCTGGCTAACCCTCGGTGCCGCACACAGGTCGCACCCGGGCGAGGCGACGTCGGCGTACGTGCTCCAGACGACGTTCCCGACCAAGGACCTGACGGACGACGGCGCGACGCTCAAGGACGCGGGCCTGCTCGGCAGCGTCGTCGTGCAGCGGCCGGCGTGAGGCGGCGCGTCGGTGGGTAGCTCGAGGGAGTGCAACGCTTGATTCAGTGCTTGAGACTCGGGTAGAGAGAGAGGCGCGAGGAGAGTGCATGCGCCCGCGTCAAGGAAGGACGCCTCCCTCTCGCTCGCGCAACCGCTGCCCAGCTTTCACTCAACCGCTCCTCGCACCTCGCACACCATGCCTGCCACGTCCAAGGCCGTCATCCTCATCGGTGGTCCCTCCAAGGGTGCGCCGCGAGCTCGCCCCGTCCTTCACCCGCGCCGTTGCTGACCCCCTCTTCCTCGTCCACCCACCCCCATCCCGCTCCCCGTCGCAGGCACCCGCTTCCGACCCTTGTCGCTCGACGTCCCCAAGCCCCTGTTCTCGATCGGTGGCCGCGCCATCATCTGGCACTCGCTCGTCGCCCTCAGCCAGTTGCGTCCCTCCCTCTCGCGGATCCCCGATCGAACGTGCTGATCTCCCCCGCCAACACCTCGCCTTGCAGCGTCGAGGGCTTGAACGAGGTCCTCCTCGTCGGATTCTGTGCGTCCCGCGTCGTCCTCTCCTCGCCCCGAGGCGTCGAGCCACGACGGGCTTCGAGCTGACCCTCCTCCCTCTTGCCTCGCCGCCAACAGACGATGAGTCCGTCATCGCGCCGTTCGTCAAGGAGGCGTCGCGCGACTTCCCCAACCTCTCGGTTCGCTACCTGCGCGAGTTCCAGCCTCTCGGAACGGCCGGGTGCGTCCCCTCCCTCTCGCTCTCTGCCGACGAGCCTGCACTGACGCACTCTGGGCGACGACGACGACAGTGGCCTGTACCACTACCGCGACATGATCCTCAAGGGCAACCCGGACCAGATCTTTGTCCTCCACTCGGACGTCGTCTGCGGCTGGCCGTTCGAGGAGCTCCAGAAGTTCCACAGCGGCCACCGCGGCGTCGGCACCGTCATGGCCGTCAAGGTGCGCCCCCTCTCTCACTCTCGCACGTGTGGCTTTTCGAGGGGCTGCGAGCGCCGAGAGCTGACCGTCGGAGAGTTGGTCGGACGCAGGTCCCTCGCGAAGAGGCGAACAAGTTCGGCTGCATCGTCGTCGACCAGCAGACGTCGCAGGCGAGGCACTTTGTCGAGAAGTGCGTCGCTCTCCCTTGTCCCCTTTGGCCGTCGCGCGGGAACTGACACGAGCGTGCGACGCCCTGCGCAGGCCCGAGGAGTTCCTGTCCGACACGGTCAACGCCGGCCTGTACCTCTTCGACTCGGCGCTCCTCTTCTCGTCGATCCGCGAGGCCATGGAGGACAAGGTCAAGCGCTCGGCGTGCGTCCCTCTCTCCCCCTCTGCCCCTCAAGAAGACCTTGCGACGGTGGGTGCTGACAAGCGCCTGCACCCCGCAGCGACGACCCCGAGGCGACTGGCGACGAGCAGCTCCGCCTCGAGCAGGACGTCCTCTCGCCGCTCGCGCACTCGGGCAGGCTCTACGCCTTCCAGACGACGTCGCCCTGGGTCCAGATCAAGAGCGCTGCGTGCGTCCTCGTCGTCCCTCTCGGTCGCTCGGTGCCGGGTCTGACTCTGCTCGCTCTCGCCCCGCAGCTCGGCCATCCCGGCCAACGCCCTCATCCTCGCGTCGTACAAGACGACCAACCCGTCGCTCCTCCGTCGCCGCTCGCCGACCATCCTCGCCAAGTCGCGCGCCGACTATTCGAAGAACAAGGGCCCCGAGATTGTCGAGCCGTGCTTCATCCACGAGGACGCCCAGATCGACCCGACGGCCAAGATTGGGCCCAACGTGTCGATCGGCAGCGGCGTCAAGGTTGCCGCCGGCTGCAGGGTCAAGGAGTCGATCCTCCTCGACAACGTCCTCCTCGACGTGCGTCCCCTCCTCTTTCGTCGTTTATCGAGCAGGCGTTCCTGACCCGTCTGGACTCGGCCTCCGTCTGCAGAAGAACTCGTGCGTCCTGTACTCGATCATTGGCGAGTCGTGCAAGCTCGGCCCGTGGTCGCGCGTCGAGGGCGCCCCGCTCGTCGGCGACAAGCAGAGCATCGCCATCCTCGGTGCGCCCCCTCTCGCTCTCTCTCTGTCCACGTCCACGAGCTGACTGAGCACCCTTTCCTCGCGCACAGGCAAGGACGTCTCGGTCCTCAAGGAAGTCCACATCCGCTCGTGCATTGTCCTCCCGAACAAGAACCTCTCGCGGTCGGCCAAGAACGAGGTCCTCCTCTAGTTTAGAGCCCCCTTCCTCTTTTGCATTGTGAATGGACAGTCTCCTCGTTGCGCCACGAGCTTGTCGAGGCCAACGAGAGCGAGAGCGCTCGAGAGGCCAGCATTGCTGCATGGGTGAGTCAGAGCGCCGGAGCTCGCTTCTCGCCGCTACACGAGGATTGTGAACGTACTCAGCCAGCCGTCCTTCCACGAATGGGGATGTAACTCAGTGGCAGAGTGCCTGCTTCGCATGTTGTGCTTGCATGAAGTCCAGGGTTCAACTCCCTGCTTCTCCATTGCTTTTTGCCGCGCGTACTTTTTAAGTACTGCGCGGCTCGTACGGCTTGCGCCGCTCCTTTGCCTGGAGCGGAAAAAGCCAACGAGCACACGGCTGAGGCGTGACACCGCGCATCGGTCCAGTCGCACAGTTGAGCTCTTCGACGTCGAGTACACGCGCGTGCGCGAGCCTCTCTCCCGCTGGCCTGTCGCGCGGCCTCTCCCCTGGAGAGAGGGAGAGCGGCAAAAAGTAGACGGGGCCTAACCGGGGATTGAACCCGGGACCTCTCCCAAATTGTCAAGCTGCGCTCAACCCTAAGAGAGAATCATGCCTCTAGACCATCAGGCCCGTTGATAAGTACTTCAATGTACCTTTGCACAAGCATCAAGCACTGCGGAAGGGCACGCCCGCGCGGCAAAGTGCGAAAGCGGGCGCTGATTCCGCGCCTCGTCGGACTCAGCTCCTTGAGTAGCTGCGGAGCTGAGGAGCAATCTGAGCCGCACAAGTTGCCGTCGAAGCCAGAGTCGAGCCGACTGAGAGCTTGAGAGTCGACGCGAGAGCCGGACGCGCTGCTTGGGGCACGGACGCTGCATGAGACGCTGCGGTTGCTGGCTGGGCGCTGCCGCGCGGTCGCTGCAGGAGCCGCTGAGCGAGGCGCGGAAATGCTTCGAGACGCTGCAAGAGGCGCTGGTTCCTGCGCGCTCAGCGTCTGCGCTCGGGCCCGCCCAGCGGCTCCACCAGCGTGACGACGTACCCAGACCGCTCCTGCTCTCACAGCTTATCTGTCCAGTCTCTGCGCTCCGTATAGAGTGTCACATCGCCGGGCTTGGCGCTGCTCTACGGCATCGCAACGCCTCAAGCCCGCACGACCGAGCAGATTGAGGACAAGTGAGTCGAGCCGAGGCAACGGCCTTGCCACATTTTGCTCTTCTTTCACCTGTAGCACTCTCTCCATACATGTCTCTAAGTCTCCTCCATTCCACAGAGACGAGCAAGCGAGTGGGCGAGAGAGAGAGCAGCTGCAGCGGCTTGAGAAGGCTCGAGCGGCGAGAGCATCAGAATGCTCGCTGAAGGTTCACCGCGCTCGGCATAGGTACCGAGCGATTGTGTGTGTTGTCGCGTTTGTACCCCTGTAGCGACCGACTCAAGCGACGGAGGTGCGAGGGCGCGGTTGAGCCGCTGCAACAGTGCGAGACGCTGCTGGACGCGCTGTGAACGGCGCTTCCTCCAGCGCCTTCTCTTGAAACGACGTGTCCCTCAGCGCCTTAACGAGTGTCTTGTCCGAGCTGAGCAACTCGCAGCAACTCGCGCCTTCTCCAGCGTCCGCGCCCACAGCAGCGCTTCCGGCTGTTCCGGCAAGCTCGACCTCGTCGCGCTCAATGAGTCTGACCTTTGAGCGAGATTCTCTTGGATGAATCAGTGGCTTGAGGTGCCTGCTTTCTTTCAGGCAGCGTACAAGCGAGATTGAACGGTGGATGAGGGAGGAATCAGACAAAAACCGGGGCCGCTGAAACCAACATACCTTTGTCATAATTGGCCTTCACAGCCGACAGGCTCTGGCAGCAGCCAACAGGCTCTAGCCCTGTTGCCGTGCACTGTGATTTGCTGCCACGCTGTACCGGACCACATCCCTGACGCATACCGGGCAAGCGTAAAGAGACGCTTTGTCAAGGGCTGCCTGATTGTGCTTTCATCACGGTGCGCGCAGCAAGAAACAGTGAGATGCAGCGCGTTGAAGGGAACGGGAAGTCCACACAGATCCCTGCAGCACAGTGTGCGCCTTCCCAGGTTCAGCTCCTGCAAATTGCCCAGCAAGGGTTCACCTCTTGGTCAAGAGAAACTCGAGCGTCCGTCAGGCACGCTTGGTTGGCCCGGCTAACTGACTTTTCAAGGTGTCTAGGGTGTTTGAGACCCGCTGTGCCCGGAGGGCCAAGGGCCGCAGCCGGCGGCCGAGGCCGGCGGGCCGCTCCTCCTCCTCCCCCTTGCGTAGCTCTCTCTCTCTCTGCAACCTATCTCTCCCTCTCTCGCCTGAGGTCTCGCGAGAGCGTCGCTGTGGAGCCAGATTTGCGATAATGCATCAGTAGCGTCCTCAGCGGGACCATCCCCCCGAGCCTGCATGTTCTTTTTCCTTGCAGCCGGCCCTGACACAGTCGGATTGGGCCGCCCTTGCAGGGCAGAATAGAGTAAGATGCGCTCTAAATGGTTAGCTAGGTTAGAAGTTGAACGGAGCTTGCGGCCCAGCTCTGCAGAGGCAGACCTGTTCCTGTTGAGCTCCACCGTCTCGGACCCAGACCCTCTGCGCGCGCAGCCCCATGAGGCAGAGGTCTCCCAGCCTACCGCTCAGCACAGGGACCATTGAATAGCATACCTTGAGGGTAATGGAGCCAGATTTGCGATAATGCATCGGTAGCGTCCTCAGCGGGACCATCCCCCCGAGCCTGCACGTTCTTTTTCCTTGCAGCCGGCCGTGACACAGTCGGGTTGGACCGCCCTTGCAGGGCAGAATAGAGTAAGATGCGCTCTAAATGGTTAGCTAGGTTAGAAGTTGAACGGAGCTTGCGGCCCAGCTCTGCAGAGGCAGACCTGTTCCTGTTGAGCCCCACCCTCTCGGACCCAAACCCTCTGCGCGCGCAGCTCCATGAGGCAGAGGTCTCCCAGCCTACCGCTCAGCACAGGGACCATTGAATAGCATACCTTGAGGGTAATGGAGCCAGATTTGCGATAATGCATCGGTAGCGTCCTCAGCGGGACCATCCCCCCGAGCCTGCACGTTCTTTTTCCTTGCAGCCGGCCGTGACACAGTCGGATTGGGCCGCCCTTGCAGGGCAGAATAGAGTAAGATGCGCTCTAAATGGTTAGCTAGGTTAGAAGTTGAACGGAGCGTGCGGCCCAGTTCTGCAGAGGCAGACCTGTTCCTGGCAAGCCCCACCCTCTCGGACCCAAACCCTCTGCGCGCGCAGCTCCACGAGGCAGAGGTCTCCCAGCCTACCGCTCAGCACAGGGACCATTGAATAGCATACCTTGAGGGTAATGGAGCCAGATTTGCGATAATGCATCGGTACCGTCCTCAGCGGGACCATCCCCCCGAGCCTGCACGTTCTTTTTCCTTGCAGCCGGCCCTGACACAGTCGGATTGGGCCGCCCTTGCAGGGCAGAATAGAGTAAGATGCGCTCTAAATGGTTAGCTAGGTTAGAAGTTGAACGGAGCTTGCCGCCCAGTTCTGCAGAGGCAGACCTGTTCCTGGCAAGCCCCACCGTCTCGGACCCAGACCCTCTGCGCGCGCAGCCCCATGAGGCAGAGGTCTCCCAGCCTACCGCTCAGCACAGGACCATTGAATAGCATACCTTGAGGGTAATGGAGCCAGATTTGCGATAATGCATCGGTAGCGTCCTCAGCGGGACCATCCCCCCGAGGCCTGCACGTTCTTTTTCCTTGCAGCCGGCCGTGACACAGTCGGGTTGGACCGCCCTTGCAGGGCAGAATAGAGTAAGATGCGCTCTAAATGGTTAGCTAGGTTAGAAGTTGAACGGAGCTTGCGGCCCAGCTCTGCAGAGGCAGACCTGTTCCTGTTGAGCCCCACCCTCTCGGACCCAAACCCTCTGCGCGCGCAGCTCCATGAGGCAGAGGTCTCCCAGCCTACCGCTCAGCACAGGGACCATTGAATAGCATACCTTGAGGGTAATGGAGCCAGATTTGCGATAATGCATCGGTAGCGTTCTCAGCGGGACCATCCCCCTGAGCCTGCACGTTCTTTTTCCTTGCAGCCGGCCCTGACACAGTCGGATTGGGCCGCCCTTGCAGGGCAGAATAGAGTAAGATGCGCTCTAAATGGTTAGCTAGGTTAGAAGTTGAACGGAGCTTGCCGCCCAGTTCTGCAGAGGCAGACCTGTTCCTGGCAAGCCCCACCGTCTCGGACCCAGACCCTCTGCGCGCGCAGCCCCATGAGGCAGAGGTCTCCCAGCCTACCGCTCAGCACAGGGACCATTGAATAGCATACCTTGAGGGTAATGGAGCCAGATTTGCGATAATGCATCGGTAGCGTCCTCAGCGGGACCATCCCCCCGAGCCTGCACGTTCTTTTTCCTTGCAGCCGGCCCTGACACAGTCGGATTGGGCCGCCCTTGCAGGGCAGAATAGAGTAAGATGCGCTCTAGATGGTTAGCTAGGTTAGAAGTTGAACGGAGCTTGCGGCCCAGTTCTGCAGAGGCAGACCTGTTCCTGGCAAGCCCCACCGTCTCGGACCCAGACCCTCTGCGCGCGCAGCTCCATGAGGCAGAGGTCTCCCAGCCTACCGCTCAGCACAGGGACCATTGAATAGCATACCTTGAGGGTAATGGAGCCAGATTTGCGATAATGCATCGGTAGCGTCCTCAGCGGGACCATCCCCCCGAGCCTGCACGTTCTTTTTCCTTGCAGCCGGCCGTGACACAGTCGGGTTGGACCGCCCTTGCAGGGCAGAATAGAGTAAGATGCGCTCTAAATGGTTAGCTAGGTTAGAAGTTGAACGGAGCGTGCGGCCCAGTTCTGCAGAGGCAGAGCTGTTCCTGGCAAGCCCCACCCTCTCGGACCCAAACCCTCTGCGCGCGCAGCTCCATGAGGCAGAGGTCTCCCAGCCTACCGCTCAGCACAGGGACCATTGAATAGCATACCTTGAGGGTAATGGAGCCAGATTTGCGATAATGCATCGGTAGCGTCCTCAGCGGGACCATCCCCCCGAGCCTGCACGTTCTTTTTCCTTGCAGCC